TAGGGATGGCAGGTGCCCAGACCGACACAGAGACGGAGCTACAGAATCTGGACAAAGAACTGTCTGGTCTGAAGGGGACCGCTGAGAGGTATCGTTTGTTAAAGCAACAGTTAGACATGAAGACAGAAGAGTTAGATATCCTCCAGGCTAAACTCCAACAGAGCTCCTTCCATAAGCAACAGGAGGAGCTGGAGAGGCTGCGCAGGACCATCGAGGAGTGTGAGGAGACCCTGCGCAGTAGTAAGAAGGTCCAGAAGAAGGCAGAGGAGAAGTACAAGGTGTTGGAGAACAAGATGAAGAATGCGGAGGCAGAGAGAGAGAAGGAACTGAAAGCTGCTCAACAGAAGCTAAACTCTGCTAAAACCAAGGCTGATGCGTTCAGTAAGAAACTCAAGGAGAGACAACAGGAGGCTGAGTCCCTGGTCCTAGAGGCGGAGGAGTTGAAGAGAGAGCAGGCTGGCAAGCACCACGGCAATGCGGACGCCCTCTCCCGGCGTGATGCCTTCTTCGCTGCCTTTACCCCGACGAGGACGTCGGTCCCGAGGAGGGGGATGTGTGATGTCACGAGAGGCTGTGTCCTGGAGGGACGTTACATCCCCCTGAGATGGCTGCAAACCCAGACAGCTATGGCTCCATCTGCTGGTATGGTCGGGAACTCCACCCCTCTATGGCCAATCTTCCCACGCAGCTGAAACAAATGAGGAGCTGATGAGCTGAAGGTTTTGGGAAGGGAAGAGACACACTGAGGGAGGGTGTGGGGGGTGAAGAGACACAGTCTCCAACCTGGGCTCTCTGGAGGACAAGAGTGCTGCACGTCCACTTCCATGAGGAATATAAGGATTTGGAGATACTTACCTTTGGGAAATACTCACCTTTGGATATATGCACCTGTGGAAATACGTGAGAGACATTTGGAAGGACTTTTTGCTGGGTTGGCCACTAGCTGCAACGTGGACTACAGTAAGGCTGGGGAAAAGTTATCTGAGCGAGTGAGAATTATGATTTTGGATGTGGAAGAGACATCCCTGAACTGTTAACCCTTAGAGAGCCACAAGAGAACAGAATTTTGTTATATTTTCGTTAATTTCCCAAGACCTATAATAAAATCCTGGTTTTGTTTGAACCTTGTCTCCTTGCACTACTTGAGCAATCCCGCTGAAAGCTGTGTAGCCTCTCGTGACGTCACAGTGTCTAAAGGGGGAATTAAAATTCCCTGTTTGTCTTTTTATGTTTTATAAATCCATTTGAACTATTGTGAATGTTTGTCTTTCCTTATGTGAAGGTTTGAAGTTCCTGGGTGGCTGGTAGCCAACCTAGTACAAGTTAGGTGTAGATGGAAGGACTGAAGGCCTTTTTATTATCATTATTGCCTATTAATAAAAGTGTGATTATTTTTGTTTGTATTGTATTTTAATGAGTGACACCCTAGTGGGTGTCAAAAGGGGGAATCCTACATTTCCCTGAAATTTCTTATTTTGGGTTCACACCCAGCGGGTGTGAAAAGGGGGATTGTGGGGTTCTATTTTCTTACAACTAGATGTGATGCCTAGCTTAGAAAGAATACATTAATGATTAAACATAATAGGTTTGTGCTGTACTTACATAGATTGTTTAACATAACAAGCTGTGATTAATGTGAGGAACCGTTAGGGGGTAGGCTGAGACAGACTTGTGACTCACACACACACTGCCTCTTTGTTAAACCGCTCAAGGACATGTGTTCTGCTACAATGAAGAAGAACAAACTATGTCTGAGGTTGCTGACTCGAGACAAGTTGTAAAGATAACAACTAATGCCCGGCAACAGTGAAGCGCCAAGGGGCTGGGACCAGCCTGTGCGCCATCGATAGGTTGGGTAAGTTTAAACCACACCCAGCCTCTACTCTGACAGGCCCAGCAGGGAGCGGGAACTATCTCTGTCAGAGTATTTAAAGAAGAACTTATAACAAAAGTTAGTTCTCTGACTGCCCTGCGTGGTGTTTCAGTGGGCCCGTATACAGTGGGGAAAAAAAGTATTTAGTCAAATAAAATAAAATAAAATCAAATTTTATTGGTCACATGCGCCGAATAATAATAATAAATAATATGCCATTTAGCAGACGCTTTTATCCAAAGCGACTTACAGTCGTGCATGCATACATTTTTGTGTATGGGTGGTCCCGGGGATCGAACCCACTACCTTGGCGTTACAAGCGCCGTGCTCTACCAGCTGAGCTACAGAGGACCACAACAGGTGCAGACATTACAGTGAAATGCTTACTTACAGCCCTTAACCAACAGTGCATTTATTTTAAACAAAATAAAGTAAGAATAAAACAACAACAAAAAAAGTGTTGAGAAAAAAAGAGCAGAAGTAAAATAAAGTGACAGTAGGGAGGCTATATATACAGTAAAATAAAGTGACAGTAGGGAGGCTATATATACAGGGGGGTCAGCCACCAATTGTGCAAGTTCTCCCACTTAAAAAGATGAGAGAGGCCTGTAATCTTCATCATAGGTACACGTCAACTATGACAGACAAATTGAGAGAAAAAAAATCCAGAAAATCACATTGTAGGATTGTTAATGAATTTATTTGCAAATTATGGTGGAAAATAAGTATTTGGTCACCTACAAACAAGCAAGATTTCTGGCTCTCACAGACCTGTAACTTCTTCTTTAAGAGGCTCCTCTGTCCTCCACTCGTTACCTGTATTAATGGCACCTGTTTGAACTTGTTATCAGTATAAAAGACACCTGTCCACAACCTCAAACAGTCACACTCCAAACTCCACTATGGCCAAGACCAAAGAGCTGTCAAAGGACACCAGAAACAAAATTGTAGACCTGCACCAGGCTGGGAAGACTGAATCTGCAATAGGTAAGCAGCTTGGTTTGAAGAAATCAACTGTGGGTGCAATTATTAGGAAATGGAAGACATACAAGACCACTGATAATCTCCCTCGATCTGGGGCTCCATGCAAGATCTCACCCCGTGTGGTCAAAATGATCACAAGAACGGTGAGCAAAAATCCCAGAACCACACGGGGGGACCTAGTGAATGACCTGCAGAGAGCTGGGACCAAAGTAACAAAGCCTACCATCAGTAACACACTACGCCGCCAGGGACTCAAATCCTGCAGTGCCAGACGTGTCCCCCTGCTTAAGCCAGTACATGTCCAGGCCCGTCTGAAGTTTGCTAGAGTGCATTTGGATGATCCAGAAGAGGATTGGGAGAATGTCATATGGTCAGATGAAACCAAAATATAACTTTTTGGTAAAAACTCAACTCGTCGTGTTTGGAGGACAAAGAATGCTGAGTTGCATCCAAAGAACACCATACCTACTGTGAAGCATGGGGGTGGAAACATCATGCTTTGGGGCTGTTTTTCTGCAACGGGACCAGGACGACTGATCCGTGTAAAGGAAAGAATGAATGGGGCCATGTATCGTGAGATTTTGAGTGAAAACCTAATTCCATCAGCAAGGGCATTGAAGATGAAACGTGGCTGGGTCTTTCAGCATGACAATGATCCCAAACACACCGCCCCGGGCAACGAAGGAGTGGCTTCGTAAGAAGCATTTCAAGGTCCTGGAGTGGCCTAGCCAGTCTCCAGATCTCAACCCCATAGAAAATCTTTGGAGGGAGTTGAAAGTCTGTGTTGCCCAGTGACAGCCCCAAAACATAACTGCTCTAGAGGAGATCTGCATGGAGGAATGGGCCAATATACCAGCAACAGTGTGTGAAAACCTTGTGAAGACTTACAGAAAACGTTTGACCTGTGTCATTGCCAACAAAGGGTATATAACAAAGTATTGAGAAACTTTTGTTATTGACCAAATACTTATTTTCCACCATAATTTGCAAATAAATTCATTAAAAATCCTACAATGTGATTTTCAGGATTTTTTTTTCTCATTTTGTCTGTCATAGTTGACGTGTACCTATGATGAATATTACAGGCCTCTCTCATCTTTTTAAGTGGGAGAACTTGCACAATTGGTGGCTGACTAAATACTTTTTTCCCCCACTGTATACGAACATCATATTTACCATTCAAGTGTTTGCATTAATTAAAATACTAGTCTATTTTAGAAGACGTGTATTGACCTCTTTTTGTTCCTATACCAGATTTGAATTGACGCAATTAAACAATTTAATATAATATTAATTGCAGTATAGATACATGCAGCTTCTCTTCTAATAATAATAAACATAATATGCCATTTAGCAGACGCTTTAATCGAAAGCGACTTACAGTCATGCGTGCATAATTGTTTTGTGTATGTGTGATCCCGGGGATCGAACCCACTACCTTGGCGTTACAAGCACCGTACTCTACCAGCTGAGCTACAGAGGACCACGGGACTACCTGGTGCTGAGAATAGGGCATTGAACTGCTCACAACATATAAAATAAAATAACAATAACGAGGCTATATACAGGGGGTATCAGTACCGAGTAAATGTGCGGGGGTACAGATCAGTCGAGGTAATTTGTACATGTAGGTAGGCGTAAAGTGACTGTGCATAGATAATAAACAGGAGTACATGAGGTTATTGGAGATACAGGTACACTGTGTCCCCAATACGGTTATTACATTATAGATACTGGTAGACCATGGCTGTGTCTATTCATAAACAATGGTAGATACACAGTTCTATAATACAATTATACCTGGTTGGTTGTGACCAATGATTTGGAAATAAACTCACAAAAAAAAGGGCAGTTGTTCTTGGTGAGGTTTATATATAAACCTATAATAAATTATCCATAGTTAACCTGTAAGAAACTGCAAACAGGCACTATGTAACAACAATGTAATTACAACGTCGTCACAATGTAATGGGACACAACACTCAAAACCACATATCCCACATCCACAAAGTTGTTTTTGTCTGTGATGAGAAAACGAAGCATGGGTCTTGTAGTTTAACTTTGTGGTTTACACGCCTCCCGCTTCTGTTAAAGAACAACATATCCCACAAAGCGTTTCGAAATGACGTGCATAAAGTCGTCCGTCTCGGATTGCAACTTGTTCTCTGGGGGCTTGTGTCCAGTTAACTGTACACTAATTGTGGTCAATTATGTTTATGGCAGGTACAGGCAACGGTGAATGCGGGTTTGGCCAGGTGTCAGGCTCTAGTTCTGGGTCCAACAATCCGCGAAAGTTTAGCGAGAAGATAGCACTCCTCACCCAGAGACAAGCTGAGGACACCGCAGCCTTCCAGGAGGTTATGATGGACATCACTTCCACCAGGGTGAGTCAAGAGGACAGGCCTACGCGCTTCGTGTTGATAAAACAAGAGTAGCCATAAAGCTGTCAAAAATATTCAAACGTCAGTGATGTTGACCACCAGACAGTCAGAGTACTTTGTTTTCAGTTTTCAGAGGCGCAATAAATTCCAGGCCATGTCAAGCAGCGCGCTCAATTTTGCACTATAGAGACTATCACCGCTAATAGGCTATAACGTTACTCTGGTTGACAAATCTCAGTTTAATCCAAGGTGTCGATATAATTTAACTTCAAAACACTCTAACTGCAATCTTTAAACATAATATATGCTTTATATTGACTTATACCACATTTATTGCATGCTTATAACACCTGTTGGTTTGCCATACAGCTGCATGGAGTGCAGGCTTCCCACAACCTCCAAGGCTAGAATTACAAATTGCACTCTTGGGGTTGCCTGCATAGTAGACTTGACCAATGTATATGTTAAGACTTATGGGCTATGCCTTCATGTTGCTATTTAGGGTGGTGTCTATAAGGCAAGGGTGCCCTGATTTGTTATTGTGTCAATAGGAAATATAATTACTATTCTATTTCTATGAGAGAGTCACTATTCCACTACACAGTTGGAGTGCTACAACCTCACAGTTCAGTGAGTGTATTAAGTAGTGAATAATATGATACTTTATGTTATCGTTTTGGAATCTAATTGCCGTCTGTGCATTTGTCAGGGGTGTAATAAATATATGTTTGAAACATGGTAGACATATGTGTAAAGTGCAGAAGTTTGAGTTTCCCTACTCTGCATTATAGAGCGCACTGGCCATGTTATAGCTGGGCTACATTGCACCTCAATCTTCAATGTTGTGAACACAATGCATTATCCTATTGAATAAGCCTCTGGTGTCACAACTGGTCTCAGAGCATTTCATATTATTCTGTATGAAATCCGAGACGCTCCATTTAGTATGATATGTTACGTTTCGTATGGTATGTATTAATTTGTGGATGTCCATCACCTATGTCGTATGATATGTTACGAATTACAATTCGTATTATATGTTACGAATTTGCAAAACGTTCAAAATGTTACGAATTTGCAAAAAGTATGATATGTTACGAATTCAGGCTAGATGTCTAACGTTAGCTAGCAGGGTAACGTTAGCAAGGCTAGGGTTAGGGTTAGGTAAAAGGGTTATGGTTAGGGTTAGCTAAAAGGGTTAAGGTTAGCGTTAAGGGAAGGGTTAGCTAACATGCTAAGTAGTTGCAAAGTAGCTAAAAAGAACAATGGGAAAAAGGTATTCCCAAACGCGCTTCAGCCCAGCTTAAATGAAAAAGGGAGGGGATCAGGTGCTCGACTGAAGGACTTGAAAATGCAAAAAACATTCCTTACCCTATGGGAGAATAAAGAAAAAGGAGCACTCTGTTGCTGTGCAAATCTGATCGATTTATTGACAGGACAAACAAACAATAGGCTTACGTTTTGGCATTAATCACCTTCATCAGAGCGGCTCTGGTGAAGGCGATTCATGCCGAAGCGTAAGTGATTCATGCCAAAACGTAAGCCTGTTATTTGTTTGTCCCATCAATCCATTTGCCTTAAGTAACCATCTGTCTTATGTAACCATACCAAACGTAACACATCATACTAATTTCAGTGTCTCGGATTTACATTTATTGTGTTACGTTTAGTCTATTAGACCAGCTGGGTGTCAGGTGAAATGAGGTGCAGCCCCCTGCTCTGGCTTGAAACAGAGGAGCCTAGACCTCATGGCACTTGTTTTATGGTAGCTCTTTGACCTCTTGCATAGCCTACACTTTGCATATCATTAATACCCAAATTCATCATGTTACCTAACCAACATGCAACACTATCCTTAAAATAGCAGTAGGAGATGGTAGTCAGCTATACTTATGGTTTATTACACATTGGCTTTTGAAGTATGCCAGGGTCTTTCTCCTGCAGTATCTGATTCCCATGTTTATGCCAAGGGTTGGCAGTCAGGGGGTATTCTTTCCGAGATCGAGCCGACATTAGCCTTGACTCACTCTTATAGTGTCACTATTTACAGAATATACTTTGTCTCAGTTTTACACTTACCAGTAATTCCATTATACAAGTGAGACTATTATAGCACTGACTGTAAATGCGATGAGCTTTTTCTGGTAATTAACCAAATTAAACTAGTTGTTTTCTTTATTCACTCCTCCTTTACCCCCCCCCCCCCCCCCCTCCTTTACCCCCCCCCCCCCCCCCCCCCCCCCCCCCACTCTTTCCTGGTCTCAGATTCAGGTCCAGAGAGCGCAGCAGGCCAGAAGCCTTGGCACCTATTATGGAGGCTCCCTTCCCAATGTCAACCAGATTGGGAGAATCACTTCAGATGTACAGGTGAGTGTTATTACTTTACATATGACCTATAACTACATTACCTACTACTTATAACTAAATGTCTATTTATTAGCCTATTTACATACATATAGGCTATAGCAATGGTTATATGATATAGGCTACTGAAAGTCAAATCAACCCTTGATCTGTCTGACTCTGTTAGGGTCAGCTCCCCTGTAGTCCAGACAATGGCTGCCCCACAAGACTTCACCCAATGGCAGAGTGGGCAAAAGGAGAGGGGCGGCTCAGTTTCCCAGTCAGGCCAAACAGGAGACATGTATCCTTTATGCTCAGTCAAAGGGTAGGCAGTGATGGGTCACTTAAAGTGACAAAGTGAAGTGAGGTCACTGCTAGTGTAACAACGTCTGTATTGCTTAGTTGATCCCATAGGACAGTGGTCACCAACCGGTCAAGCCAGTCCTAGTCAATCACCAATCATTTCTGTAAACGACAAAGCCTTCCGTTCCTATTTCTTTTATTCGTTTCGTGCTGTTGACGGTAGGTGCACTTGATTCAGCAGCCCTAGCGCCGGGAAGGCAAAGTGTTCCCATTATGAACCATTTCATATGTCTGAAGGTAGAACTTCGCCTACTCGGCAGGCCCAGCCTGCATAGTAGATAGCAAATCAAGTGCACCTATAGGCCTACCACAGGCCAATCAGATAGCTCAGATCACTGTGTCTGCACAGTTTCCTCGCACCATAGACTGTAAAAAGAAGCCTCAAACGCACAGCAAAGTTGATAATGTGAGATTTCAAAACTTTTAAAACCATGACTAGAGAGTGACTCAACGAATACAGCAAAGAGCTGCTGTTTTTATGAGTAAGTTCATGTTTAAGTTGTTATTCAGCACCGTAAACATTTGTTCAACAGTTTTATAAGCCATAAAATGCGCGTTTCGATAAGCTTGCGTTGTTATTATTTGCGGCTTGTGTCTTTTTTAATATCGAGGAATATTTCACTTTCTCTGGTCATAGGACTAACAACATGAATTGGTGCACGAGGCAGAAGTAATGCAGTGCGACTTAAGTTTCGCCATCAGCTGGAGGACCGTGTCCCTTTTCTCAGTGGAGGGAGGGAGAGAGAAGGGACGGTGAGTCGGGTGAGAGGCAGCCTCACCGCTGCGCCCTCCCTCCCCTCAGACTGACCATCAGATGCAGGCCATCAGTCCAGTAAAAAAATAAATAATCACAAGTAATACAATAAATTATATATTACCAGTGTGATCATATACATGTTTTTTTATATAACTTCAAAATGGTCTGAGAAGAACAACATTGGCAGGGCAATACAAGCGTAGCCAATATGCAGTGATAATGTATTGGGCCTATAGCCTACTGCACAAACCTCATTGCTACAGAACTGTTTTCAATTGGTTAATGTTGCATAAGCTTATGTTTTTTAAGTAATGTAAAAGAAATTCAGAGTGGTAGATCTCGGCTTGCATTTTGACTCAGAAAGTGATCTTGACTCAGAAAAGGTTGGTGACCACTAACATAGGACTAGCTGTGATTCATAGTTGGCTAAAGCACAAACATAAGCTTTTAGGGCAAGGTTTTCTAATGGTCAATGCTAACGTTAGCCATTGCTACTCTTGTAAAGTAAGCACACAGAAATTATGGTCATCATCCATGCACTCCAGATATCTAAAGTGCATGGAGGACGACAGTGCTTGACTTGGACTAAAATAGGTGCCTGTACTCATTTTGGGTGCCAGCACTGTTTACATTTAGGTGCAAGAGCTCCACAATACTTTTGAGCTAATATTCTAGAAGAGGAACAGGAGCTCAAGCAGTAGTAAATTGGTGGTGCCTGTACTCAGCGCCGGTGAGCTCCTGCCCAAGTCAAGCACTGGAGGATGATCATAACAGCGGATGTAAAGCAATAGTTATATATTGCAATAAATATATTGCAATAAAGGGGTGAACTATTGCCTTAAATCCACAGTAGCCTACTTCCTACTGCCTGTATTGCAAGATGACCAAACAGCTATTGTGTGTAAAAGCGTGCTGGGGTCAAATGCCACACTACTGTTCTTCGCCGGTCCCTTTTTTGGTTCCAGGTAGAACCCTTTTGGGTTCTAGATAGAACCCTTTTGGGTTCCATGTATAACTCTCTGTGAAAATGGTTCTACCTGGAACCAAAAGGGTTCTACCTAGAACCAAAAAGGGTTCTTCAAAAGGTTCTCCTGGGGACAGCCGAAGAACCCTTTTAGGTTCTAGATATCACCTTTTTTTCTAAGCATGTACTGTCTAAGGTTAACTGTTGATCCACTTAAGTAACAGATAGAGGGGATTAATCATGGATACTGTACAGTGCAGGCAATGCCCTGTCAACTTTTCGTACCATTGTTTTCCAACAGTAGGTCTATGCCTAGGTTTTTCTAAGGGCACTGTGGATAGCCTTAACACTCCCTCACAGACTGACAACTCTCCCTACCGCTCAGTTCATCTGTCTCCACCACCCGAACCCAGCTGGAGAAGGTAATGGTTGGGCGCTATCCAAACTGATATATTTTGTTCACTTCGTAATAAATATCCTAATACATATTTTGACTCTGATTATGTCACACAAAAAGGAACTGGTCTAGCAGCTCTCCAGTGGACAAAAGCCCCCTGATGCACCCTCCCATCACAGCACTTAATAGGTGAGCAAAGTACCCATGGTGTTTCTCTACTGTTTTTCTACACTCTTGCTTTCCCCTCTAAGATGTGTGCTCTCCTCCCCAGAACTAACTCAGACTCTGCCCTGCACACCAGTGTGAGGAACACCAACACAGGGGACCATTTGAGCCCCAACCAGCAGGCTTTATCCTCACGGAACAGACACGGTGGTAAGTCCACAATGCCTCCAGTTGTATTGAAATAGTCATAGTATTGTGTTCAGTGTTCCAGTGTTAGTCCTTAGTTAATTCTTGCAAATGCCTCTTGAAAGCGAGTTTTTTTTTCTATGCCATGCATTAATCCATTTGTCAACTCAGTTTTTCCATATCCAGTTCCTCCGATTGAGGAGAATGTCCTAGAAGAGGGAAAACAATTAAGAAATACCAAGAAGGTATTATTCTCCTATTTCCTGCCAATGTAACCATCCACAATGCTTCATATTTCCTATGCGAATCGGTGCAATATTTACATTTTAGTCATTTAGCAGACACTCTTATCCAGAGCGATTTACAGTTAGTGAGTGCATACATCATTTTTGTATTTTTCATTCTGGCCCCCCATGGGAATCGAACCCACAACCCTGGCATTGCAAACACCATGCTCTACCAACTGAGCCAATTGTGCGCCGCCCCATGGGTCTCCCGGTCGCAGCCGGCTACGACAGAGCCTGGATTCGAACCAGGATCTCTAGTGGCACAGCTAGCACTGTGATGCAGTGCCTTAGACCACTGCACCACTCGGGAGGTCATTGCTCTATTTAGTCTAGCAAATGCATGACTATTTGTCTCATTGATGTACCTGATGTATCCTTGCTAATTGTTTCTCATCCTAGTGTCCTGCACTTCCCACTGGAATCAAATCACGTAAATTCCCTGGTGTAAAGTAAGTTCTGCTTTTCCAAATGAATATTGTCTAAAAGAAAGTCAACCCCTGGGCCCTGACTGAACCTCCCTTTCCTCCTATCCTTCCCTCTTGTGATTTCTCCAGCATCCTGTCCTCACCAGATCAGCAGTTCAGTGCTCTCAACGTCCCTTCCGCTCTCAATGTGAGTGGCTCCTTGCCCGACCTCTCCAGCCTGCACCTCCCCTCCCCACAGCCAGTAGGCGTGGACCCAGACAAACCCATTGCCTGCAGCACTGGCCACCTACCTGGAACTCCCTCTCACCTTGGAGCCAGGGACGATGAATTTCCCTTGCCAGGTGTGTTTGTCTGTGTGCTAAGTTCTTACTCTATGTTGGTGCCAGTTTAGGTATGTTCATATGGTGATGATGGTGTCCATTTCTTCTGTGTTCTCAGGTTTGTCGTTGTCTCTCCAAGGCTCATACAGTAACCCATTGCTCCAGTCCTCCCACAGCAACCCCAATATCCAATCCTCTCTCAGCAGCCACTCCCTTCCCAGCTCTCTAAGCTCCACCTCTTTGAACTTCTCACTCAGCAACCCTTCCCTGCAGTCATCCCCTAGCAACCAATCCCTCCAGTCCTTCCTCAGCAGCTCTTCCCTAAGCGGCCTATCCCTGCAATCCACAACTAGCCACTGTAGCAGTGGGATTGGCGGATCTCGCTCTTGCTCCTCCTCTTCCCTATCCAGCTCCCCACGTCCAACTAGCCAGACGCAGGTGCCTCCGTCAAGGAGGCGGACTCCCCTCAGCCCACTGGTCGTTCCCACTGGTGGAGATTCTCGCTGGCTCCAATCTAAACAGTTTTCACCTGTTGGGTCTCCAAAGTTATCTTCTATAACTCAGGTATCTCAAACAAACTGGAATTTAAGTGACATCATTGTTTTTGTGATTATTTCATATAATTCCATATTAAGACATTGTTTGATGTATTGCTCTTATTTCAATTCCAAGGGAGTTCTCCTGAACACCAACCAATTACCACAGGAGTCAAGGCCACCAGGGTATCGTCACTGCCAACCTCAACATGAGGGTCCTCCAGCAGTTCAGCAGCCCATGCATAGAGGTCTGCCACAGTGGCAGCATTCTCTGACAGAGGGGCAGCAGCAACCCAGCCAGGAACCTAAGAAAACGCCACCACACCAAGAGAAATTCTGGCATCAACAACAACAAGGTGTACATCAGCAGCAGCAACAACAACACCTACATCATCAACAACACCCACAGCAACAGCTCCCACAGACACACCATCTCCAACAAGTGCAATATCACCATCGACAACAGTACCAACACCCGAATCAATTATATCAATGCCAGATCCAGCAGGTCCAAACAGAAGGTCAGGACCTGGACATAAAACAGCAACATCAAAGAGGGTCAAACCAGTGTGAGAACCTACAGCAACAACGCTTACATCAATTACAAGAGGAACAGCATCAACAACAACAAGAGCACCAGCAACAACAGAAACAAGTGTACCAAAACCTGCCACAGCAACAGCAAGAGAAGCAAAGGCAACAATACCAGCTGCACCAGCAACACCCATGCCAGCAGGACCCACATCAACAACAAGCGTACCAAAGACAACCTCAGCAACACCGAGCACTTCGACAAGATGAGCTGCTACAGCAGCAACACCAGCTCCAGCAGGTTCAACTCTACCAACAGCAGCAGCAGAAAAATGGCAACCTGCAGCAGCAACAGCAGCATGAGCAACATCAGTGGCATCTCCAGTGTGCGTACCCCCCATCTCAGAGCCTCGACTTGAATGGGAAGAACATGTCAAACTCACAAAAAGTAGCAACGATGCAGATGACTCGTAAGCATCAGACCCAAGCCCAGGGAGGGAGTTGGGCACATCAGAAGGTGCAAGGTCAGAAGGACCAGATTCAGTCGACCAAAATCTCCTCACAGATGAACTCCTTCATGGACAACAATCCGGACCTCTACAATGTGAGAATAACCCCATCTATTGCATATTGTGTTGCCTATTTTTACTAGTTTGAGTTTGTTTATTTTGGCTAGTGTCAATGTGTACATTTAGCAGTTTTATCAGCCTCTTTGTTTTCTCTGTGATTATGTTTAGGGTCAGTTTAGGCTATGTTTAGGCTCGGTTTAGGCTATGTTTAGGCTCAGTTTAGGCTATGTTTAGGGTCAGTTTAGGCTATGTTTAGGGTCAGTTTAGGCTATGTTTAGGCTCAGTTTAGGCTATGTTTAGGGTCAGTTTAGGCTATGTTTGGGGTCAGTTTAGGCTATGTTTAGGATCAGTTTAGGCTATGTTTAGGGTCAGTTTAGGCTATGTTTAGGGTCAGTTTAGGCTATGTTTAGGCTCAGTTTAGGCTATGTTTAGGGTCAGTTTAGGCTATGTTTGGGGTCAGTTTAGGCTATGTTTAGGATCAGTAAGAGGCTATTTGATGTTTGGTCTGCCAGTAAGGTATGGTAATTTATCAAATATTGCGATTTGATGTGCGATATAGATCAAAACACTTTGGTGAACTGTTGGAATAGAATGTAGAAGCAAAGTGGAAAGCAGCATCGTTCTTGTTTGGAACAATTGCTTGACTGCATTTGACCTAACAGAACCGAATGCAAACTTACAGATGTAGGATCTGAATTTGATAACCCTGTTGCAGGATAACTTTTCTGCAATGCAGGAAATAAAAAACTTGGGAGTGTATTTGAGGTTTAAAAAGGCTTCTGAAGTTTGTAATTTCCAGTTTGAAATTTCAGACTTGATTTTCCCTTACGATAAATGTATCAACCCCTACAAACATGTCCATTAATTATAATCCACATAATAATTCAAATGTCCTGTTGCTGCAGGATTATTTTCCTACTGTAGCAAACTGGCTCAAATTAAGATGCTACATCTGTATAGGGAATCCTGTATAGTGAATCAAACGGAGGAACTGTGTTGCTTGAGTGACAGGACGGGCTTGTTGTGTGTGGGAAGCAGCCGCAAGATAGAAAAAAATGAGTAAACTAATCAAAACTGATGTTACACACGGCTGAGATGCGTTTCAGAATATTGCATGCGAAATTGATCTTTTGCGATATGGGTATTGCACATGTCAATATTGCGATTTCAATGTGAATTTGATTAATTGTGCAGCCCTATTAATGGTACACTCACCCCCTTTCTGCTCTCTCAGGACTCTTCCATACTGGATCAGTTTCAGCATGAGTCCTACATGGGCCTACACCTCACACCCAGCCAGACTCAGGCACTCTCCCAGCAGGTAACCTAAGACTTCAAACTGTAAATAATGTAACAGTATTGAAAGGACAACTCTATTTTACCTGTTGATTCATTCAGTGTCCAAAGTTTTAATCTAACTGTCTCTAATCTTTGTTGGTTGTCCACACCTCTGCCCAGCTGGGACAACTCAGTAAGGAGCCTCTCTGGGGAGATTCTGGGCCTCAATCTGTGGTGGGGAAAGATGGAGGCTCAAATGTCCCTCCACTGCCAAAACCAAAGCAGTGTGGACTGTCATAACATCCTTACGACAGGTAGGACCCACTCCTTCCCCCCTCTTGTACTTTTTAATTGCTTGCAGCAGTTAGAGATAGTTCACTTTTTGGAGAAGTGTTACCTTATTTTCAATTTACACAGGGCGTTGTTGTTTCATCCAGACAGATTTCCGATTGAGCCGACATATGCAGCGTTTACCGTTAATGGGATCTCCGCGTACGGAAGCATTGCCTTTAAAAGCCACAATGCCTATAACCCATGTTCGGATTGAATCCCGGCCTCAATCTTTCTCTCTTATCCGTTGTATCTTTGTTTCCCACTTAACAGACAAAACAGCTTTTGAGGATTTCTCTGGTGTTCTGCCCATGCTGGGATTTGATGCAGACCCATTTGCCCTGAATAACCCCCTTCAGATCGATCCCCTAGGCCTGGAGGAGCTTAACATGCTGGCAGATGGAGAGGACACTGTGAAAGGACAATGCTCTAACCTACTTACATGACCTGGGGAATTGGATGCATCCAGGAACACTATTTTCAACTAAGATGGCTGCAACATCAGTTGTAGATAAACTACTGCCAACTATGCGTTTCAGGATCACTCACTGCTGGACATAATTTGATTGGACATGTTATTTCTTACAGCATCCTCATGTGATTGGACGGGTCCATGTAATGGGATTTGAAAAGCATGTGACTGGACAATGACTGCCTCACATGACTGGTTAGTTGACTGCACTTTTTTAGTTGTCATTTCATGCTTGCCTGCAATGGAAAAATGCACCGAAGAGCTGGCATCCCCTGCATCTTAGTGTAAATGTAGTTGAATAATGAGAACAGATGTGTAGTTTGTGTAAAGAAAATATATATTTTTGTATTTCTATGGATTTTTGTAATACAATGATGTACATTCTAATATGAACGGACTGTCTTTTCACTCTCTTGTAGAGATGAAAAGTAAAAAAATATATATAAACAATATTGTGTATATACAATGTGGCCAAGAAACCAGTTACAGTGGTGTGAAAAAGTGTTTGCCCCCTTCCTGATTTGTTATTTGTTTGCATGTTTGTCACACTTAAATGTTTCAGATCATCAAACAAATTTAAATATTAGTCAAAGATTACATTTACATTTTAGTCATTTAGCAGACGCTCTTATCCAGAGCGACTTACAGTTAGTGAGTGCATAGATTATTAAAAAAATTATAATAATCATACTGGCCCCCCATGGGAATCAAACCCACAACCCTGGCGTTGCAAACGCCATGCTCTACCAACTGAGCTACATCCCTGCAGGCCATTTCCTCCCCTACCCTGGACGACGCTGGGCCAATTGTGCGCCGCCCATGGGTCTCCCGGTCGCGGCCGGCTACGACAGAGCCTAGTGGCACAGCTAGCACTGCAATGCAAAGATAACATAAGTAAACACAAAATGCAGTTTTGAAATGAAGGTTGTTATTATTAAGGGAAAACAAAATCCAAACCTACATGGCCCTGTGTGAAAAAGTGTTTGCCCCCCCGTTATAACACAACTCAACTGTGGTTTATCACACCTGAGTTCAATTCCTCTAGCCACACCCAGGCCTGATTACTGCCACACCTGTTCTCAATCAAGGAATCACTTAAATAGGACCTGCCTGACAAAGTGAAGTAGACCAAAAGATCCTCAAAAGCTAGACATAATGCCGAGATCCAAAGAAATTCAGGAACAAATGAGAAAGAAAGTAATTGAGATCCATCAGTCTGGAAAAGGTTATAAAGTCATTTCTAAAGCTTTGGGACTCCAGCGAACCACAGTGAGAGCCATTATCCACAAATGGCGAAAACATGGAACAGTGGTGAACCTTCCCAGGAGTGGCCGGCCGACCAAAATTACCCCAAGAGCGCAGCGACGACTCATCCAAGAGGTCACAAAAGACCCCACAACAACATCTGAAGAGCTGCAGGCCTCACTTGCCTCAGTTAAGGTCAGTGTTAATGACCCCACCATAAGAGACTGGGCAAAAATGGCCTGCATGGCAGAGTTCCAAGACGAAAACCACTGCTGAGCAAAAATAACATTAAGGCTCGTCTCATTTTTGCCAGAAAACATCTTGATGATCCCCATCTTGATGGGAAAATACTCTGGACTGACGAGACAGAAGTTGAACTTTCTGGAAGGTGTGTGTCCCATTACATCTGGCGTAAAAGTAACACCGCATTTCAGAAAAAGAACATCATCCCAACAGTAAAATATGGTGGTGGTAGTGTGATGGTCTGGGCCTGTTTTGCTGCTTCAGGACCTGGAAGACTTGCTGTGATAAATGGAACCATGAATTCTGCTGTCTACAAAAAAAAATCCTGAAGGAGAATGTCCGGCCATCTGTTCGTGACCTCAAGCTGAAGCAAACTTGGGTTCTGCAGCAGGACAATGATCCAAAACACACCAGCAAGTCCACCTCTGAATGGCTGAACAAAAACAAAATGAAGACTTTGGAGTGGCCTAGTCAAAGTCCTGACCTGAATCCTATTGAGATGCTGTGGCATGACCTTAAAAAGGCAGTTCATGCTCGAAAACCCTCCAATGTGGCTGAATTACAACAATTCTGCAAAGATGAGCGGGCCAAAATACCTCCACAGCGCTGGTAAAGACTCATTGCAAGTTATCGCAAACGCTTGATTGCAGTTGTTGCTGCTAAGGGTGGCCCAACCAGTTATTAGGTTGTATGGGGCAATCACTTTTTCACACAGGGCCATGTGGGTTTGGATTTTGTTTTCCCTTAATAATAACAACCTTCATTTCAAAACTGCATTTTGTGTTTTACTTGTGTTGTGTTATCTTTGACTAATATTTAAATTTGTTTGACCTGAAACATTTAAATGTGGCAAACAAATAAGAAATCAGGAAGGGGGCAAACACTTTTTCACACCACTGTATATTTAGAGTGGCCAAGAAACCAGTTATATTTAGAGGTCCTTGTTGCTTTTTTTAAACATCTTATGACATTTCTGTAATGACATTGTGTACCAGACATGATTTTACAAGAAAAATAAATGAGCAGTAAATAACTTACCTGTCCATAAAAAAATAGACAATTGTATGGATTAAGACAATTACATTACAATTCACTTAATTTAAAAGGAAAGTTTCCTCAAAATACAAATAAACATGACCTGTGTATTAGATGATTGCATAGTCATATTTCAGGTACTGGTGTTTTTGCGTTTAGTCCTAAAATTAAAGGTAACACATGGTTGCCTAATAGAAAAATACAGGTAAATACTCCACAAGGCCATTTATTCTCCTATGTGATTACAACCTGAATATGATTATGAAGATTGTTTTAAATTAATTCCAAAGGAGAAGTATGACAAATAATTCAACAAAAAAAAAATCAACAATTACAAGCTCATACAAAACATTTTATAATCCCATACCGATATTTAACTTAATTTACATTTGAAGATGACACATTAATCAAGAGTTTAAAACAAGCCTAAAACATATTTTACAATGATCCCATTTCAGTTTACTTTGGGTAGCACATGGACCCAAACTATGCTTCCCATTTCTCCAAAGAATAACTAACATCCAGGGGGTTGGGAAAGAAAGCAACAAACCTTGTTTCTATAAAGGTTCTTCCCTGAGATTTATTTTCCTCTCACTGCTCCAGGTATGGGTCTCCCTCGGACGCAGATCTAGGATCAGCTTATCCTTACCAATTCCTACACCATTACAGTAAAACCTGACCTCAGATCAGTGTTTCGAATTAATACCCTGCTCCCTTCTGACTCCTCTAACATCTTCAGACATTTATATGTGCCTGAGTCTATCATTAGACAGTGTAGGACCCATGTCAGGTCAGTATATATCTATATTGGCAGTGCCAAACTTCAGTGTAACATGTCCTCATGTATTGTTCATTGAGCAACAATGATAAGATAATATACTGTTTTATACTGAACTGGAAGAGAGGGTACTCCATCATTTGAGTAAAAAAAACAAATCTTCCAACTACAGTAACAAGCCTTTTCTTCACAATTTGCTGTATACAAATTCTCACATGGAATGTTAGGATTGAGATGGGAGCCTTTGGCATTCACAAGCACAAATAAATGCACTCATTCATTGGTTCTCTTCCACAGGATGATTCAGCCCATTCCAAAATGTTGCAAGTGGTTAAAAATCAGTTTCTGTCAAAGCCTTATTGGCCAATTGTGCCAACAATGGGTGGCCATATTAGACAGTCACACACGCGCAAGTGGTGGATTCCACTTGTATCAGTGCACCTCATATAAAATAAAAAAAGAGTGACACCTGCCAGACACTATTTATATGCATTTAATCCTATCCGATAGGTTAAATCCAGATAACTTTTGAAAAACTGGGCCGAGGTGTGTCTGTTCATCGGCTAGAAAATGGTTAAAGGCGGGACTTAAAGTACACATATCCTGGCTTGGCCTCAGTTGATTGGCTCGTAGACCTGCGTTTGGGGCCTGTTCTTGCGGACACACACACACACACCCCACCCAGCAGGATGATCAGCATGGGAGTGCCCAGCCCCACCGCCATGATGACCAGAACCAGGGGAGAGAACGAGTCAACAGGAGGTGAGTACAGTCCCACCAACACAGTCCTGAAGTAGGAGGGAGAGAAGATTAGGGAATAAGAAAGGGAAAAAGCAAGAGAAGGAAGAATATCATCAGTGCTGACAATTTCATTATAATTTCAGGTAGTTGGTGATGGTGTGAGATGCTTGATAGTTGATGCTTGACAGTTGGTTAACGAAGGGGCTATAAACTGCAATTTACTGTATAACTCAGTTCAAGTTGCTAAAATGAAACATATTATAGCAAGGATGAACCAATAGGATGTAAACTGCTACCTACCAGCTAAGGTAGTTGGTGGTGTTGTAGAATGGGTGGTCTGACCGGTGGTCTGACGCACCCCTCCAAAATAAGCCAGCACCAGGCCGGAGGGGGGAAGCTGGGCTACGGGGACAGGGGTTGAGTGCTAGCAGGGAGCGGCGTCGTCAAAGACAGGCAATGGCCTGCAGTAGGCCACGGGCTTCCATTGGGCGTAGCCAAGAACAGGGGAGGTGGAGTTGACTGGAGAGGACACCCACTGAGATACCTAAGGGAGAGGAAAGACAAGATCATCGTAGAATTTGAAAGCGTCAGTGACAGTCTACAGAGAGAGGTTTAGAACAATGAATCAACCATAAATGATCAACCACACAAAATGAGTTGAAATATAAACATCTAAATACTCTGTTACTCAGTAACATTTACTACAGTATAACTGCATGTCTACAGCACACACATTACCTTGAATATGGAGGGTGTGTATCCGTCATCTATTGACCTGAGCACATCCACTCTGTTCATCAGTTTACAGTTTACAGTTTAGTCATTTAGCAGACGCTCTTATCCAGAGCGACTTCCAATTAGTGAGTGCATACATTTTTCATACTGGCCCCCGTGGGAAACGAACCCACAACCCTTGCGTTGCAAGCGCCATGCTCTACCAACTGAGCTACAGGAGGGCCATGGGCTGGGTGCCGCCCACGGCCTGTAGCTCTAGGGAGAAGCGGGAGCGATTGGACCTCGGGGCCACGCCGTCCAGCCCCACCCTCAGCTGGGAGGAGTTAGCGTTGTGGAGGAGGCTGGGCCAGCCTTGGTCCCGCCCCTCAGAATCAAAGGCTGAGAACTAGGATAGGAAAATAATAGTTGAATACAGGCTAGCTAACATGTAATAAAATAAATCAAATTTCACTGATCAGTAATACTCACTTCACTTCAGTAACCAAGTTTAAGTGATAAAATCTAAGTCTGTCAGACATTTTCAGACCTGGTCTAATGTAGAGATGAGTCCATGTCCATTTATATGCAGATGATACAGTCTTATACTCAGCTGGCCCCTCCCTGGATTTTGTGTTAAACGCTCTACAACAAAGCTTTCTAACTTCAAAGCTTTTTCTGCTTTCTCTGCCCTTAACACCTCCAAAACAAAGGTTTGGTTTGGTAAGAAGAACGCCCCTCTCCCCACCGGTGTGATTACTACCTCTGAGGGTTTAGAGCTTGAGGTAGTCACCTCATACAACATTTTACATTTTAGTAATTTAGCAGACGCTCTTATCCATTTTTGTATTTTTCATACTGGCCCCCCGTGGGAATCAAACCCACAACCCTGGCGTTGCAAACGCCATGCTCTACCAACTGACCATTCCCTCCCCTACCCTGGACGACGCTGGGCCAATTGTGCGCCGCCCCATGGGTCTCCCGGTCGCAGCCGGCTACGACAGAGCCTGGATTCGAACCAGGATCTCTAGTGGCACAGCTAGCACTGCGATGCAGTGCCTTAGACCACTGCGCCACTCGGGAGGTAAAGTACTTGGGAGTTTGGCTAGATGATACACTGTCCTTCTCTCAGCACATACCAAAGCTGAAGGCTAAGGTTAAATCTAGACTTGGTTTCCTCTATCGTAATCGCTCCTCTTTCACCCCAGCTGCCAAACTAACCCTGATTCAGATGACTACCCTACCTATGCTAGATTACAGAGACGTAATTTATAGATCGGCAGGTAAGGGTGCTCTCAAGCTGCTAGATGTTCTTTACCATTCGGCCATCAGATTTGCCACCAATGCTCCTTATAGGACACATCACTGCACTCTATACTCCTCTGTAAACTGGTAATCTCCTTATACCAGTCGCAAGACCCACTGGTTGATGCTTATTTATAAAACCCTCTTAGGCCTCACTCCCCCCTATCTGAGATTAGTTGTCATGTGGTGTTGCTACCATGTTGTTGTCATGTGGTGTTGCTACCATGTTGTTGTCATGTGGTGTTGCTACCATGTTGTGTTGTCATGTGTTGCCGCCATGCTATGTTGTCGTCTTAGGTCTCTCTTTATGTAGTGTTGTGGTGTCTCTCTTGTCATGTGGGTTTTGTCCTATATTTTAAATTCCCCGTCCCCGCAGGAGGCCTTTTGGTAGGCCGTCATTGTAAATAAGAATTTGTTCTTAAATGACTTGCCTAGTTAAATAAAGGTTAAATTTAATAAATAAATGAATGTCCCATGCAATCAGTTGAGTGGATCCAGACATACAGTGGGGAAAAACAGTATTTAGTCAGCCACCAATTGTGCAAGTTCTCCCACTTAAAAAGTTGAGAGAGGCCTGTAAAAAAAAAAAAATCCAGAAAATCACATTGTAGGATTTTTAATGAAATTATTTGCAAATTATGGTGGAAAATAAGTATTTGGTCAATAACAAAAGTTTCTCAATACTTTGTTATATACCCTTTGTTGGCAATTACACAGGTCAAACATTTTCTGTAAGTCTTCACAAGGTTTTCACACACTGTTGCTGGTATTTTGGCCCATTCCTCCATGCAGATCTCCTCTAGAGCAGTGATGTTTTGGGGCTGTCGCTGGGCAACACAGACTTTCAACTCCCTCCAAAGATTTTCTATGGGGTTGAGATCTGGAGACTGGCTAGGCCACTCCAGGACCTTGAAATGCTTCTTACGAAGCCACTCCTTCGTTGCCCGGGCGGTGTGTTTGGGATCATTGTCATGCTGATGGAAGGAGGTTTTCACTCAAAATCTCACGATACATGGCCCCATTCATTCTTTCCTTTACACGGATCAGTCGTCCTGGTCCCTTTGCAGAAAAACAGCCCCAAAGCATGATGTTAGGCTTTGTTACTTTGGTCCCAGCTCTCTGCAGGTCATTCACTAGGTCCCCCCGTGTGGTTCTGGGATTTTTGCTCACCGTTCTTGTGATCATTTTGACCCCACGGGGTGAGATCTTGCATGGAGCCCCAGATCGAGGGAGATTATCAGTGGTCTTGTATGTCTTCCATTTACTAATAATTGCTCCCATAGTTGATTTCTTCAAACCAAGCTGCTTAACTATTGCAGATTCAGTCTTCCCAGCCTGGTGCAGGTCTACAATTTTGTTTCTGGTGTCCTTTGACAGCTCTTTGGTCTTGGCCATAGTGGAGTTTGGAGTGTGACTGTTTGAGGTTGTGGACAGGTGTCTTTTATACTGATAACAAGTTCAAACAGGTGCCATTAATACAGGTAACGAGTGGAGGACAGAGGAGCCTCTTAAAGAAGAAGTTACAGGTCTGTGAGAGCCAGAAATCTTGCTTGTTTGTAGGTGACCAAATACTTATTTTCCACCATAATTTGCAAATAAATTCATTACAAATCCTACAATGTGATTTTCTGGATTTATTTTCTCAATTTGTCTGTCATAGTTGACGTGTACCTATGATGAAAATTACAGGCCTCTCTCATCTTTTTAAGTGGGAGTACTTGCATAATTGGTGGCTGACTAAATACTTTTTTCCCCCACTGTAGGTCTGAATCTCGTGTAGATAGGCAATGCCTAATTTCATCATCCAGGCTTTAGATGATGCAGTTCCACCTACCTTCAGACAGAGCGAGCCGTTGCTGAAGCTCTCGCTGGCGTCTCTTCCACAGAGCAGGGCGGTGTGGGCCGTGGGGTCCAGTGTCTTGTTCAGGTCGTCCCAGGTGAAATTCTGCAGCTTGTAGGGCTGGAAGAAGCTGGAGGGGGGCATGTGCTCCGGGTCGGCTGTGTCGTTGACATCGTCGTACTCCCACAGCTGACGAGACAAATAAGTTGGTTTAGTGAATTAGTTATGTATGGCTTTGCCCAGTCTGAAATCAACCCCTTGTTAATACCCAGGTGTTTGTTAGAGCTATTACCATATTGCTAACAACCATCAAAACATTTATGATCTACAAGAAATGTCTAGAGCTTGAATTTTGGACCACGCAAATGATTACTTTCAATAACCTGGATTATGGTTCAAAACCTAGCATCTCGCTTGTCTTTATGGTTTATGCATTTGGATGAGATACGGTCATGTGACCTGTATCAGCCACTCAAATTTTCACCTCAACTGACACTTATGAACAAGATGACCACCAATTTAGAACTGCTGATGACTCACCCTGGTAAAGACGAGTGCGTTGCTGCACAGAACACTGCTCTCTGGAGTCACTTTCAGGCTGCCTGTGGTATTTTGTACCAGGAAGGCAGGCCAGTCTACCTCCACCTTGGATGAAGTGGAGCTCGTGTGCACCAGTAGTAATGCTTGCGCCCCCTGGTTGCTGGTTGCTGGTCGCTGGTTCTAATCCCCGAGCCGACTAGGTGAAAAATCTGTCGATGTGCCCTTGAGCAAGGCACTTAACCCTAATTGCTCCTGTAAGTCGCTCTGGATAAGAGCGTCTGCTAAATGACTGTAAATGTAAAATGTAAATGGTTGCAGAGGAGGTAATGCAGTGTTGTGTTTTTGCCCAGCGCCCGCACATGGACCAAGCCAACACCAGGGGGCAGCGGTGTCAGCAAGGAGTTCAGATCAGGGTTCAGTTCCAGGGATACCTGGGAAGAGGTAAGTAAAACAGAGACGGTATGTTTTGTAATTTTTCTATAGCGACACAGAAGGTGAGATTCATACAAACAAACTGAAATTGTAAACAGAGATTCAAAAATCAATAACAGATTTGCACAGCGTCCTGCTCAGGCCAACAACCCTAAAGAAATACTGACTGGTCCTGACTTGGTCAGAGTCCTATGGAGTACTGACCTATGCAAGGAAGTCTCAAATGGGTCCTGGCCTCTCGGGGCCCTAGGGATCCGGAGGGATGTGGGTGGGATGCCGATCAATGGGATGACGGCTCAACTTGGGATGGGGAGGGGCTTTAGCGGGGGAATTAGTGGAGAACAATTGAAGGGATACTTAGTAGCAATGCAAATATCATGGTACAGCTATATGGACACTCAATCATTACGGTATTTTTTCATGGTAAATTTACAAACATATATAATGATAAATAGTTTTGAAACTTGTATCTCATTATGGTATATGGTGAAATAAGTATAGCCAGTTATAATTGTAATGGCTTAGCTGATAATAACAAAAGAAGAACAATATTTACATGGCTCAAAGAGAAGGAATATAATATCTATTGTTTACAGGAAACTCATTCAACAATTCTAGATGAAGTTGCGTGGAAAAAGGAATGGGGGGGGCGAAATATACTTCTCCCATGGGCAAAGAAATTCAAAAGGGGTGATGATATTAATTAATAGTAATTTCGATCCGAATGTGCAAATTGTCCAAATAGATACGCAAGGTAGATGGATTATTTTAAATATGTTATTGGACAATAAACAGATATGGCTCATTAACATTTACGGACCAAATAATAATGATCCACACTTTGACAATATATATAATAAATTATCAACCCTGCAAGCAATTCAAGACAATATTATTATGGTGTGGGATTATAATACTGTATTAAATAGCTCAAAGGACCGTAAAGGAAATCACACCACAAACAATCACCCACATGCTCTTAAGGAAATCGTGAATGTCATGGATACATTAGAACTAGTAGATACAGTGGGGAGAACAAGTATTTGATACACTGCCGATTTTGCAGGTTTTCCTACTTACAAAGCATGTAGAGGTCTGTAATTCTTATCATAGGTACACATCAACTGTACATTGTATGATTTTTAAGTAATTCATTTGCATTTTATTGCATGACATAAGTATTTGATCACCTACCAACCAGTAAGAAATGTAAGAATTCCGGCTCTCACAGACCTGTTAGTTTTTCTTTAAGAAGCCCTCCTGTTCTCCACTCATTAACTGTATTAACTGCACCTGTTTGAACTCGTTACCTGTATAAAAGACACCTGTCCACACACTCAATCAAACAGACTCCAACCTCTCCACAATGGCCAAGACCAGAGAGCTGTGTAAGGACATCAGGGATAAAATTGTAGACCTGCACAAGGCTGGGATGGGCTACAGGACAATAGGCAAGCAGCTTGGTGAGAAGGCAACAACTGTTGGCGCAATTATTAGAAAATGAAAGAAGTTCAAGATGACGGTGAATCACCCTCGGTCTGGGGCCCCATGCAAGATCTCACCTTGTGGGGCATCAATGATCATGAGGAAGGTGAGGGATCAGCCCAGAACTACACGGCAGGACCTGGTCAATGACCTGAAGAGAGCTGGGACCACAGTCTCAAAGAAAACCATTAGTAACACACTACGCCGTCATGGATTAAAATCCTGCAGCGCACGCAAGGTCCCCCTGCTCAAGCCAGCGCATGTCCAGGCCCGTCTGAAGTTTGCCAATGACTATCTGGATGATCCAGAGGAGGAATGGGAGAAGGTAATGTGGTCTGATGAGACCAAAATAGAGCTTTTTGGTCTAAACTCCACTCGCCGTGTTTGGAGGAAGAAGAAGGATGAGTACAACCCCAAGAACACCATCCCAACCGTGAAGCATGGAGGTGAAAACATAATTTTTGGGGATGCTTTTCTGCAAAGGGGACAGGACGACTGCACCATATTAAGGGGAGGATGGATGGGGCCATGTATCACGAGATCTTGGCCAACAACCTCCTTCCCTCAGTAAGAGCATTGAAGATGGGTCGTGGCTGGGTCTTCCAGCATGACAACGACTCGAAACACACAGCCAGGGCAACTAAGGAGTGGCTCCGTAAGAAGCATCTCAACGTCCTGGAGTGGCCTAGCCAGTCTCCAGACCTGAACCCAATAGAAAATCTTTGGATCTGGAGAAGGTCTGTATGGAGGAGTGGGCCAAAATCCCTGCTGCAGTGCGTGCAAACCTGGTCAAGACCTACAGGAAACGTATGATCTCTGTAATTGCAAACAAAGGTTTCTGTACCAAATATTAAGTTCTGCTTTTCTGATGTATCAAATACTTATGTCATGCAATAAAATGCAAATTAATTACTTAAAAATCATACAATGTGATTTTCTGGATTTTTGTTTTAGATTCCGTCTCTCACAGTTGAAGTGTACCTATGATAAAAATTACAGACCTCTACATGCTTTGTAAGTAGGAAAACCTGCAAAATCGGCAGTGTATCAAATACTTGTTCTCCCCACTGTATGTATATATGTATATATATTTTTTTAAACATGGGGGATTGGAAGTGATGCAGACAATTACATTGATGGAAGTTACAATCTATCTGCAATATTAAGCTGATCTACCCCCCCTCCCCAAAAAAGGAAGTCTCAACTGAGATATCTTAGTTCATAATCAATATTTAATCATAGTTGATATGGCTGGATTACCAGCACAGAGTAGAGTTCAGTTTAGATTTGTTTCAGCACTATTTGACTTAGCTATCTCAGCATCTTCAGTAGATGCCTCTTGGGTACCGGTATGACAGTTCACCTAATTACACAAGTTTACCCCAAATACCTTGAAAGGAATCTCTGGGCCATAACAGTTTGGGTTTTACTTACCCACTGCCATTAATCACAAAAAATTTAAAACCCAAACACTTAAGCCTAACTACAGTGCATTCGGAAATTATTCAGACCCCTTGACCTTTAATTAGAGCTCTATGGGAGCCTTTGACCTCATTGCTTGGTTTTTGCTCTGACATGCACTGTCAACTGTGGGACCTTATATAGACAGGTGTGTGCCTTTCCAAATCATGTCCAATTGAATTTACCACAGGTGGATTCCAATCAAGTTGTAGAAACATCTCAAGGATGATCAATGGAAACAGGATGCACCTGAGCTCAATTTCGAGTCTCATAGCAAAGGGTCTGAATACTTACGTAAATAAGGTACTGTGTGTAGATTGATGAGGGGGGAAAATAATGTAATACATTTTAGAATAAGGCTTTAACGTAACAAAATGTGAAAAAAGTCAAGGGGTCTGAATACTTTCCGAATGTTTTGAGAATGACACAAATATTAATTTTCACAAAGTCTGCTGCCTCAGTTTTTATGATGGCAATTTGCATATACTCCAGAATGTTATGAAGCGTGATTAGATGAATTGCAATTCATTGCAAAGTTCCTCTTTGCCATGAAAATGAACTTAATCCCAAAAAAAAAAATGTCCACAGCATTTCAGCCCTGCCACAAAAGGACCAGCTGACATCATGTCAGTGATTCTCTCGTTAACACAGGTGAGAGTGTTGACGAGAACAAGGCTGGAGATCACTCTGTCATGCTGATTGAGTTAGAATAACAGACTGGAAGCTTTAAAAGGAGGGTGGTGCTTGAAATCATTGTTCTTCCTCTGTTAACCATGGTTACTTGCAAGGAAACACGTGCCGTCATCATTGCTTTGCACAATAAAAGGCTTCACAGGCAAGGATATTGCTGCTAAAGTTGATTCAGCTGCAGGATCGGGGCACCACCAGTGCAGAGCTTGCTCAGGAATGGCAGCAGGCAGGTGTGAGTGCATCTGCACGCACAGTGAGACGAAGACTTTTGGAGGATGGCCTGGTGTCAAAAAGGGCAGCGAGGAAGCCACTTCTCTCCAGGAAAAACATCAGGGACAGACTGATATTCTGCAAAAGGTACAGGGATTGGACTGCTGAGGACTGGGGTAAAGTCATTTTCTCTGATGAATACCCTTTCCGATTGTTTGGGGCATCTGGAAAAAAGTCAACAGTAAAGCATCCTGAGACTGTTCAAGTGAGTGGACTCACTCAAAATTTTGCCTAAGAACACGGCCATGAATATAGAATGGTCCCAACACATCCTCTGAGAGCAACTTCTCACAACCATCCAAGAACAGTTTGGTGATGAACAATTCCTCTTCCAGCATGATGGAGCACCTTGCCATAAGGCAAAAGTGATAACTAAGTGGCTCGGGGAACCAAACATCGACATTTTGGGTCCATGGCCAGGAAACTCCCCAGACCTTAATCCCATTGAGAACTTGTGGTCAATCCTCAAGAGGCGGGTGGACAAACAAAACCCCACAAATTCTGACAAACTCCAAGCATTGATTATGCAAGAATGGGCTGCCATCAGTCAGGATGTGGCCCAGAAGTTAATTGACAGTATGCCAGGGCGGATTGCAGAGGTCTTGAAAAAGAAGGGTCAACACTGCAAATATTGACTCTTTGCATAAACTTAATGTAATTGTCAATAAAAGCCTTTGACACTTATGGAATGCTTGTAATTATACTTCAGTATACCATAGTAACATCTGACACAAATATTTAAAAACACTGAAGCAGCAAACTTTGTGAAGACCAATACTTGTGTCATTCTCAAAACTTTTGACCAGGACTGTATGCCCCTAGTTCAAAATCACACCCACCACAACCACAAGGAATTGTGTAGTCCAGGGTTCTTCAATTCCGGTCCTGGAGGGCCGAAACACTTCTGTTTTTTATTTCTACATGGTAGTTAATTGCACTCACCTGGTGTCCCAGGTCTGAATTAGCCACTGGTTAGAAGGAGAGGATGAAAAACAGAGGTGTTTCGGCCCTCCAGGACCGGAATTGAAGAACCCTGGTGTAGTCTAATGTCGCTACAGTATGCATTGTTGGTTGGGGCCCAAAAAATGTGTAAATGATAGCTAGTATCATAGATTTTTGGTCATCGTTACAATATGGCTCGCGCTATAAATAGAAACCCAAACAACGCGTATATCCAAAATGCTAGAAATCACCAACTAGCTAAAATATATAACTTGCTATCTAGCAGTTTAGCGGATAAAAATACCGTGAACTGGCTCCAAACAGAAGTTAGCTAACTGACGCATTGATAATTTCGTTAGTAAACTAACGCCTTACAGTAACGTAAAGTTACTACTTTACTGTAGCTAGTGAGCAAAAGATTAGCTAACGTTAGCTACCTTTTATAGCACTTTATTACTGTATAACAAAAATGTACTATCCAACTTACATCCGTCGGTAGTTATCACCATTGCCGATAAAACTAGAAGAAATCCGAACCGTTAAAAGCAAAAATAAGACATAAAAGTGGATTGTGTACAAAATCTCCGCCGCCATCTTTCTTTTTCGGCATACACATGGAGGAATCATGTGCCTAGTTACTTATTTGATCAGCTGATTTGTATTCAACTGACTCGCCGGTATGGATTTCAGCAGTTGTGGAAAAAGTATCCAACTATCATACTTGAGTAAAAGTAAAGATACCTTAATAGAAAATGACTCAAGTAAAAGTGAAAGTCACCCAGTAAAATACTACTTGAGTAAAAGTCTGAAAGTATTTGGTTTTAAATACACTTAAGTATCAAAAGTATGAATAATTTCAAAATCCTTATTAAACAAACCAGTAGGCACATTTATTTTTTATTTTTTATGTATGGATAGCCAGGGGCACACTCAGACATCATTTACAAACGAAGCATGTGTGTTTAGTGAGTCCACCAGATCAGAGGCAGTAGGGATGATCTCTTGATAAGTGTGAATTGGACAATTTTCTGTCCTGCTAAGCATTCAAAATGTAACTAGTACTTTTGGGTGTCAGGGAAAATGTATGGAGTAAAAGGTACATACTTCTCTTTAGGAATGTAGTGAAGTAAAAGTTGTCAAAAATATAAATAGTAAAGTACAGATACCCCAAAAATCTACTTAAGTAGAAATACTTATAAGTACTACACACCACTGGATTTCAGGATGTAGGAAATGTAATGCCACCTTAGCAATTATTGAAACATTTCACCATAGGCTAAGCTACATCATTAACAAAAGTGGTGAGAGAATCATAATCACATCAAACACACATCATGGCTGTCATCAAAGTGAATGAAACAAACATAGGCCTATGTCATTTGTATCCACTTTTATTGAGGTTGATTCAATCACAGGTAACAGCCCCAGGCAAAGGGTAATGGTGGGAAATGTTCTAGTGGAGTAAGAGGATTCAGAACCAGAGACACCATAACTCCAACTATTTCTTACAGAAAAAAAGCGTTCACTCATTGAAATGCAGTAATGCTAGACGATCAAATCCATATAATGCAGCATTTAAAAAGGACCTTCAGAGGTAGACATTGCAGGCTTGAAATCATTTGCAAGGTCTATTTTTTGTTCTAGTATCACAGTGCTTTAGTAGTTCATTCAAATTACTTGTAGGTCACTTGATTTGGTCACCATCCATTGGCAACCGTTCTTCAACTCACGTCACACAAAGGAGTTCATCCATACAAAGAAATGCCTAGAGTGATAAACCGAGGTAAACCTTGGTCCCAGGAGAACATATTCAGTCACATCTTACACTTACTGCCATAAATACTGCGCAAACACACAAACACACTGACCAAACTAAACTTGAGTGCCTTGGTACCAAATCCAGTACATTCATATGTAATACATGCAACAACCCTATCCCAGTCTGCTTAGACTGTCCATAACAAATGTCATATCTGAGTGAGAGGTTTATAAAACAGTCCTGTCAAGTTTTTATTAATCATATGTCCAGGATACACATGGTATACACCGTCCAACAAAATGCTTACTTGCAGGTTCCTTCGACAATGCAACAACAAGAAATAGCTCAGATTGCCTATTCCTCCATTACCCTCTTCCTCCTCTCTGTTCCCAATCCTTCTCTTCTTCCCCTCTACTCGGCACCCTGTCCTCCTCCTGTCTGCTCATCTCCCTTCTTCTTGTGTCCAGAGACGATGTCGTCGATGCGCAACAACAAGATGGCCGTCTGGAGAGAGAAAGAAGAAGAATGAGTCCAAGGGAGTAGAACTGCACAGCCAAAACACATGTACAGTGCCTTCAGAAAGTATTCATACCTCTTGACTTAAACATTGTGTTACAGCCTGAATTCAAAATGGATGTAAAAAAAAAAAAATCTCACCCATCTACACACAATAATACCCCATAATGACAAAGTGAAAACATGTTTTTAGACATTTCTGCACATTTATTGAAAATGAAATACAGAAATATCTAATATACATAAGTATTCAAACCCCTGATTCAATACATGTTAGAATCACCTTTGGCAGCGATTACAGCTGTGAGTCTTTCTGGGTAAGTCTCTAAGAGCTTTGCACACCTGGATTGTACAATATTTGCACATTATTTTTTATTTATTTTATTCTTCAAGCTCTGTCAAGTTGGTTGTTGATCATTGCTAGACACCCATTTTCAAGTCTTGACATAGATTTTCAAGCCAATTAAAGTCAAAACTGTAACTAGGCCACTAAGGAAGATTCAATGTAATCTAGGTAAGCAACTCCAGTGTACCAAAAATTAGCAACACCTTCCTAATATTGAGTAAACATGTCTAAAAACATTCCACTTTGACATTATGGGGTATTTTGTGTAGGCCAGTGACAAAATATCAATTTAATCTATTTAAAATTTAGGCTGTAACAAAATGTGGGAAAAAATCAAGGGGTGTGAATACTTTGAAGGCACTGTACCTAATGAACACTTATGTAGCGCATCTGAATGCCCTCAACATTGTACTGAGCAGGTGGTTGGAAGTCTCACCTCTACTGCAGTCTTGTAGGTCTGAGCCTTGACAGCCAGCGGCTCCCAGATGCCCAGGGCGGTCATGTCAGCTAGGGTGCCAGTCTCTCCGTTCACCCCCCACGACACACTGCCCTCCTGTGTGTGCTTGGCCTGGAGAGAGATATGGAGCTCAGTGAAAAGGCCACTATAATGTACAGTAAAACCTACATCTCCCTTTCACCCCCTCTCTCGCACGCGTTCGCACACTCTCCCATCGGTCTTACTCCGAGATGGTATGAGGTTCTACCTTTGACTCTCTCCGTCTCTGTCACTCGCTTACCCTGAGGGAGGTGAGCACACGGATGGTGGAGGCGCCACAGTTCTGGATGAGGGTGCGGGGGATGACCTCCAGGGCCTGGGCCAGGGCACGGTAGGGCCACTGCTCCACGCCAGTGAGGGTCTTGGAGAGCTCCATCAGACGCTGGGACACAGCCATCTCGGCAGCGCCACCGCCAGGCAGCAGGCTGGGCTCCAGCAGCACATTGCGGGTCACCTGCATGGCATCCTGCAGGTTACGCTCCACCTCCTGGGAGAGTGGTCAATGGGGGAGAGAGAGAGATTTCAGAACACAAGTAAAACCTAATTCAGTCGTTTTACAGCCCTCTAACCAATTGTACTATTATGTTATGTGTTTTTTCGCGTTATTTGCAATTTATTCTGTACATAATGTTTCTGCCACTGTCTCTTATGACCAAAAAGAGCTTCTGGATATCAGGACAGCGATTACTCACCTCGTATTGGACGAAGAGTTTTTCTTCAACGAGTCGGACGTGAAGGATATCCTACAGACACCCGACAAGGCCCAAATCCCTGTCATTCGCATGAGAAAGAGACGGAAATATCGTGGACGTAGGTCGGGGTGCCTTGTAAGGATCCGACTGCGAGCGAGTAAACTGCCTCTTCCATCAATCCTATTAGCCAATGTACAATCATTTGAAAATAAATCAGACCTAAGATTACGGTTATCCTACCAACGGGACATAAAAAACCGTAATATCTTATGTTGTTTCACCGAGTCGTGGCTGAACGACGACATGGATAACGTACCGCTGGTGGGATATACGCTACGTCGGCAGGATAGAACGGCTGACCCCGGTAAGACAAGGGGTGGCAGTCTGTGTATATTTGTAAACAACAGCTGGTGCATAAAATCTAATACTAAGGAAGTCTTGAGGTTTTGCTCGGCTAAGGTAGAGTACCTCATGATAAGCTGTAGACCACACTATTTACCAAGAGAGTTTTCATCTATATTTTTCGTGGCTGTCTATTTACCACCACAAACCGATGCAGGCACTAAGATTGAGTGCAATGAGCTGTATAAGGCCATAAGTAAACAGGAAAACACTCATCCAGAGGCAGCGCTCCTACTGGCCTGAGACTTTAATGCAGGGAAACTTAAATCCTTTCTACCTAATTTCTACCAGCATGTTAAATGTGCAACCAGAGGGGAAAAAAACTCTAGACCACCTTTACTCCACACACAGAGACGCATACAAAGCTCTCCTTCGCCCTCCATTTGGAAATCTGACCATAATTCTATCCTCCTGATTCCTGCTTATAAGCAAAAACTAAAGCAGGAAGCACCAGTGACTCGGTTACTAAGGAAGTGGTCAGATGACGCAGATGCTAAGCTACAGGACTGTTTTTCTAGCACAGACTGGAATATGTTCCGGGATTCTTCCGATAGCATTGAGGAGTACACCACATCAGTCACTGGGTTCATCAATAAGTGCATCGATGACGTCGTCCCCACAGTGACCGTACGTACATACCCCAACCAGAAGCCATGGATTACAGGCAACATCCGCACTGAGCTAAAGGGTAGAGCTACAGCTTTCAAGGAGCGGGACTCTAACCCAGACTCTTTTAAGAAATCCCGCTATGCCCTCAGACCATCAAACAGGCAAAGACTCAATACAGGACTAAGATTGAATCGTACTACACCGGCTCTGACGGTCGTCGGATCTGGCAGGGCTTGAAAACTATTACAGACTACAAAAGGGAAGCACAGCCACGAGCTGCCCAGTGACACAAGCCTAAAAGACGAGCTAAATCACTTATATGCTCGCTTCGAGGCAAGCAACACTGAAGCATGCATGAGAGCATCAGCTCTTCCGGATGACTATGTGATCAAGCTCTCTGTAGCCGATGTGAGTAAGACTTTTAAGCAAGTCAACATTCACAAGGCCGCAGGGCCAGATGGATTACCAGACGGAATACCAGGACGTATACTCTGAGCATTCGCTGACCAACTGACAAGTGTCTTCACTGACATTTTCAACATGTCCCTGACTGAGTCTGTAATACCAACATGTTTCAAGCAGACCACCATAGTTCCTGTGCCCAAGAACACTAAGATAACCTGCCTAAATGACTACCGACCCGTAGCACTCACGTCTGTAGCCATGAAGTGCTTTGAAAGGCTGGTCATGACTCACATCAACACCATTATCCCAGAAACCCTAGACCCACTCCAATTTGCATACCGCCCCAACAGATCCACAGATGATGCAATCTCTATTGCACTCCACACTGCCCTTTCCCACCTGGACAAGAGGAACACCTACATGAGAATGCTATTCATTGACTACAGCTCAGCATTCAACACCATAGTGCCCTCAAAGCTCATCACTAAGCTAAGGACCCTGGGACTAAACACCTCCCTCTGCAACTGGATCCTGGACATCCTGACGGGCCACCCCCACGTGGTAAGGGTAAGTAACAACACATCTGCCACGCTGATCCTCAACACGGGGGCCCCTCAGGGGTGTGTGCTCAGTCCCCACCTGTACTCCCTGTTCACCCATGACTGCATGGCCAGGCACGACTCCAACACATTCATTAAGTTTGCCGACGACACAACAGTGGTAGGCCTGATCACCGACAACGATGAGACAGCCTTATAGGGAGGAGGTCAGAAACCTGGCCGTGTGGTGCCAGGACAACAACCTCTCCCTCAACGTGATCAAGACAAAGGAGATGATTGTGGACTACAGGAAAAAGAAGAGGACCGAGCACGCCCCCATTCTCATCGACGGGGCTGTAGTGGAGCAGGTTGAGAGGTTCAAGTTCTTTGGTGTCCACATCACCAACAAACTAACATGGTCCAAGCACACCAAGACAGTCGTAAAGAGGGCATGACAAAACCTATTCGCCCTAAGGAGACTGAAAAGATTTGGCATGGGTCCTCAGATCCTCAAAAGGTTCTACAGCTGCACCATCGAGAGCATCCTGACTGCAACACTGGGGCCAAGCTTCCTGCCATCCAGGACCTCTAACCAGGTGGTGTCAGAGGAAGAAAATTATCAAAGACTCTAGCCACCCTAGTCATAGACTTTTCTCTCTGCTACCGCACGACAAGCGGTACCGTAGCGCCAAGTACAGGTCCAAAAGGCTTCTTAACAGCTTCTACCCCCAAGCCATAAGACTCCTGAACAGCTAATCATGGCTACCCGGACTATTTGCATTACCCCCCCACCTCACCCCACCCCCCTCTTTTACACTGCTGCTACTCTGTTTACTCTTTAACTCTATCCACATGTACAGTCGTGGTCAAAAGTTTTGAGAACGACACAAATATACATTTTCAAAGTCTGCTGCCTCAGTTTTTATGATGGCAATTTGCATATACTCCAGAATGTTATGAAAAGTGATCAGATGAATTGCAATTAATTGCAAAGTCCCTCTTTGCCATGAAAATGAACTTAATCCCCCAAAAACATTTCCACTGCATTTCAGCCCTGCCACAAAAGGACCAGCTGACATCATGTCAGTGATTCTCTCGTTAACACAGGTGAGAGTGTTGACGAGGACAAGGCTGGAGATCACTCTGTCATGCTGATTGAGTTAGAATAACAGACTGGAAGCTTTAAAAGGATGGTGGTCATGCCAGCAGTAAAGCATCCTGTGTGGGGTTGCTTCTCAGCCAAGGGCGTGGGCTCATTCACAATTTTGCCTAAGAACACAGCCATGAATAAAGAATGGTACCAACACATCCTCCGAGAGCAACTTCTCCCAACCATCCAAGAACAGTTTGGTGACGAACAATGCCTTTTCCAGCATGATGGAGCACCTTGCCATAAAGCAAAAGTGATAACTAAGTGGCTCGGGGAACCAAACATCAAAATTTTGGGTCCATGGCCAGGAAACTCCCCAGACCTTAATCACATTGAGAACTTGTGTTCAATCCTCAAGAGGCGGGTGGACAAACAAAAACCCACAAATTCTGACAAACTCCAAGCATTGATTATGCAAGAATGGGCTGCCATCAGTCAGGATGTGGCCAGAAGTTAATTGACAGTATGCCAGGGCGGATTGCAGAGGTCTTGAAAAAGAAGGGTCAACACTGCAAATATTGACTCTTTGCATAAACTTAATGTAATTGTCAATAAAAGCCTTTGACACTTATGGAATGCTTGTTATTATACTTCAGTATACCATTTACATTTACATTTGAGTCATTTAGCAGACGCTCTTATCCAGAGCGACTTACAGTTAGTCACATTATTATTATACTTTTTTTTTTTTTTTTTCATACCCCCTGTGGGAATCGAACCCACAACCTTGGCGTTGCAAACGCCATGCTCTATCAACTGAGCTACATACCATAGTAACATCTGACAAAAATATCTAAAAACACTGAAGCAGCAAACTTTGTGAAGACCAATACCTGTGTCATTCTCAAAACTTTTGACCACGACTGTACATATTACCTAAATTACCTCGACTAACCGGTGCCCCCGCACATTGACTCTGTACCGGTACCCCCTGTATATAACCTCCCTACTGTTATTTTATTTTACTGCTGCTCTTTAATTATTTGCCATTTTAATTTTTTTCTTAAACTGCATTGTTGGTTGAGGGCTTGTAAGTAAGCATTTCACTGTAATGTCTACACCTGTTGTATTCGGCGCATGTGGCAAATAAAATTTGATTTGATAACTTCTGTGACTTATCATTTAAAAAAAGACAGGTTCTAGGAGGGGAGTGTGGGAGCAGAGACTCATCTCATTAACATTATTTTCACTATCATCCCTCTCTTTTTGCACTTAGTGATTGTTGTACAATAAAAAGTGCATATTATTTTGAATGTTTTATACTCTCAGTTTCTCACCGCCAGGATTTCCTTGCTGGCTCCTCTCAGCAGGATGGTGCAGGCTTTGGGGTCTTTGCACTCTGTGACGAAGGTGAAGTACTCGTCTCCAATCTTCTTGATCTCAAACAGGCCCGCCCCCAGGCCCACGTCCTCCTCGCGTAGCTCGTCCGTACGGCTGGCAATGCGTGCGCCACACGCCCTGAGGGGTAACAGGGAAAGAGGTCAGCTTAGTTAGAGCAGTAGTTGTAAAGACCATACACCCTGTTAAAGAGACAGAATGAAACTATGTTAAACCAATAAGCAATGAAAGTGACCGGTCATTTGCTAGATATGTACAGTAACATGATGCAAAACAGAACAGCAAAATTGAAACATGTTTGTTGCGATAATTGTCTCCAATAGTTGATGTAATGTCAAATAAAAATGTTGCTTTCAATTGGCTTACCTGGCGATCCTGTTGTTGTCGGTCTTTCTGACACGGCGAATAGCCGTGATGTTAGCCTTCATCAGGTAGTGCTGAGCCAAGTCTGAAGAGAGAGGCAAAATATAGTCACGGTAAAAATGTCAGTTGCATCAGACATATGCCTTAACAAGAGCAATGCATTTTTAAGCAGTGTGTGTAGTACCCGAGATGCCCTTCTCTGTGAAGATGAGGTCTGGCTTGAGGCGGATGATGTCTTCACAGATCTGCTGGATGTACTCCTCCTCCATCTGCAGGATGCGTGCAAAGTCCTCCTCACGAGTGATCTCAATATCAGTCTGGCTCTCTCCCTTCTTGTACTCCAGGGAGCAGTCCAACAGGACAATGCGCGGATCCTTGATCATTCTGCGCATGCGCGGGTGGGTCACGTCCTTGTTTACCATCACACCTCTCAGCACACACGAGTCCTCGATGATCCCACCGGGAACCTGGACAAACACACACAGACGATAAAGCGGACGTTGATGCTGATCTGATGCAGAAATTGTACTGCACAGGAAAACTGTATGACATTAAAGACACACACTTTGACCCTTACCTTTTCTACTTTGGCGTACTTCTTAATGTCAATCTCCTTGTGTCCGTTCTCCTCCATCTCCACAGTTTTGACGGCATCCAGGGCGATGCTGCAGGCCATGTCAGACCAGCGGCTCAGGGCCTTGGTGTTGATGGCAGAGTTGATGATCTTCAGCATCATCTCCCGGTCGCTCACGTCCACTGGGGTGCTGGGGGGAGGGTAGGGATGGAGGAGAGTTGTTAAACAACTGTTAAGAGTATGAAAGCAGTTGTCACCTAAATCAGTGGTTCTCAAACTGGGGGTCGCGAAAAGGTTTTTGTGGGGGTTGAGCGTGAAATTGAATGGGAAAAATCCATATTTTCCCTACATTTGAATAGGCTACATATACCAATTGTATTGTATTGTATTGTATATTTATACCTTTGCCTATTCGATCTGGTTACTAACATAGGCCTACAGTATTGTACCAAATTCTTGTCTCAAAATCTTCTAATCTGTGCCTCAGAACCAAAAAGTTGAGTGTCTTGACTCTTGACCAGGCATCAGCATGCAAAGGCAGGCATGCATATCCAGATTAAAGGAGATGATTGTGGACTACAGGAAAAAGAAGAGGACCGAGCACGCCCCCATTTTCATCAACGGGGCTGTAGTGGAGCAGGTTGAGAGCTTCAAGTTCCTTGGTGTCCACATCCCCAACAAACTAACATGGTTCAAGCACACCAAGACAGTCGTGAAGAGGGCAAGACAAAGCCAATTCCCCCTCAGGAGACTGAAAAGACTTGGCATGGGTCCTCAGATCTTCAAAAGGTTCTACAGCTGCACCATCGAGAGCATCTTGACTGGTTGCATCACTGCCTGGTATGGCAACTGCTCGGCCTCTGACCGCAAGGTACTACAGAGGGTAGTGGGTATGGCCCAGTACATCACTGGGGCCAAGCTTCCTGCCATCCAGGACCTCTATACCAGGCGGTGTCAGAGCAAGGCCCTAAAAATTGTCAGACTCCAGTCACCCTAGTCATAGACTGTTCTCTCTGCTACCGCACGGCAAGCGGTACCGGAGCACCAAGTCTAGGTCCAAGAGGCTTCTAAACAGCTTCTACCCCCAAGCCATAAGACTCCTGAACATCTAATCAAATGGCTACCCAGACTACTTGCATTGCCCCTCCACCCCTCTTTTACGCTGCTGCTACTCTTATCTATGCATAGTCAAGTTAATAACTCAACCTACATGTACATATTACCTCGACTAACCGGTGCCCCCGCACATTGACTCGGTACCGGTACCCCCTGTATATAGCCTCGTTATTTTTACTGCTGCTCTTTAATGATTTGCTACTTTTATTTCGTATTAGTTTATATAGTATTTTTTTGGTATTCTTTCTTAAAACTGCATTGTTGGTTAAGGGCTTGTAAGTAAGCATTTCACTGTAAGGTCTACACCTGTTGTATTCAGCGCATGTGACAAATAACATTTGATTTGATAATGACCAGAAAGCACTGGATTCATTTTCTCCAGTTTTACCTGGCAAAAACATAGTATGTTTATATATAAAATAAAGTTTAGCAATGTGCTACAGACGCATCTTTGCCAGAATAATAGGCTACCTGGCGATTCGTTGATCATTTTCATATTTCAGACAGGCCTAGGTAGGCCATGTTTGGGTGGCTACTGGCTATATGTCTAAAGACATAGCTGTAACATCACACTGCCTTCAATACTTATGGGATGAAGATGTAATAAATTCACCAGAATATGTTACAATATTTGTTAGGAAGAAGGCTGCAGACAGACCATGCTTCCATCTGATCCTGCAACCTCTGCTACATACAGGTCAGCCGTAAGCTGCTTGCTCTGGACTCCAGAGAAGTGACATGATATCCCTAGTTGATATTGGCTGCTAACATGAATGACTTTCACCTCAAAATGCAGGTCTAAAACGTCTCTTGCGTTTTGAAAATGCATCACTGTTTGACAGGTACATTTGCACAGCGATTGTGTGTTTGTGTGTGTGCGTGCGTGCACGGGGGTTTGAGGTTTGAACCACTCCTTTTTGGGGGTCGCCGATCAAAAACATACATTTTTTGACCTGCATGTTTTTTACCTAAAACATGCAGTGACCAGAAACAGTATTTGGGACAAAGCTCTAGACTTCATGTAAATCAAGTATTAATGTCAATCACAGATTTGCATCAAAAGTGAAATTATACATAGATGTTAAGTTAGGATTCAGCCCTTAACGATTAAAAGGTTGTGTGTGTTGGCGGGTGGTAGAGGCTGGAACAGTACCTGATATCTTTGAGCAGGTTGAGCATATCATCCAGGGCTTGTCTGTAGGCGCTGATGACAACTGTCGGGTGCATCTGCTGCTCCAGGAACTGCTCTGATACGGACAGCATCTCCCCCGCTAGAGAGATGTACAAAATTAATGGTCCCCCAGGTTGAGTCGTCAAATTTTCTGGCAGGATCGGCAGCCATGGCTGTCGATGGCCCCTAAAAAAATCCATGCCTTGCGGCCAAAGTGGCCATTGTGCCCTTGGGCTGAATATAATAATTATAATTCCCTTCTTCCAGCTGCCAACCGCCCTGCTCCAAAGCACCTCTCATTCACATGGCTCTCTCAGACATTTCAATTCTTATTAGTCAATGCCCGTCACGTGATCAGGTCCTTCTCACAGGTATTGCAGCTCCAAAGTAGACTACCGTACTAGTGATGACAGACACGTCGGGGATGCAACGGTGCGCGTCCTTCTTATCGAATTCCGTGGTGCATACTGAAGATGTTAGAACTGTCCACGTTTACTTTTCGTCAGCCAAAAAGATTATTAACAAACAGCAAAAGCACTAGCCTATGTCAATCTACTATCTCACATATTACAAAAGTTGACCTATTCAATGGGTCAGCTTGACGTTCTGTGCAAGAAAGAAACATTCCAAACAGACTCTCTGGGGCAGTTGTGGGACGATAGATCCCAAATTAATACAACCACTGTACAAACAAACAAACTTTTAAAAGCAAATGAGGCTGATGCAACAGATAAGAACTTTCAGATTAAAATGTTGATAAACTATTTCTCCACATAAGCGTAGCAACAAGCACACAGCAGCAGGTTATACACGCAAATGTTTCAACATTCAATTAGCAGGAAAACACTGTTCTCCAAAGCACACCGCATGGGTTGTTAATATGACTAGGATTGTGTCTTTGGCTGCTGGACAATGAAAGAAAGTTGAGAGCACGAGATAAATACTGGTTTCAATGGCATACGACAAAGTGTTTATAAAATAATCCCTTTAACATTCCTATGATTGGAAAACACGGTAAGACATGCCTCATAAAATGACCAAAAAAATGTCCAGGTTTTAAACAATTACGTTTATGGTTAAATCGTTTCAAAATGTTCAATGCCTCCGCTCAGATTACAAGGTGGCCTATCTGAACGAACAGTGCCTTGAGTATGAATATCAAGCCTTTAGATGTTAATATTAATTATATTCCTCAAACATGAATTAGATATATATACAGTGGGGAGAACAAGTATTTGATACACTGCCGATTTTGCAGGTTTTCCTACTTACAAAGCATGTAGAGGTCTGTAATTTTTATCATAGGTACACTTCAACTGTGAGAGACGGAATCTAAAACAAAAATCCAGAAAATCACATTGTATGATTTTTAAGTAATTAATTTGCATTTTATTGCATGACATAAGTATTTGATCACCTACCAACCAGTAAGAATTCCAGCTCTCACAGACCTGTTAGTTTTTCTTTAAGAAGCCCTCCTGTTCTCCACTCATTACCTGTATTAACTGCACCTGTTTGAACTCGTTACCTGTATAAAAGACACCTGTCCACACACTCAAACAGACTCCAACCTCTCCACAATGGCCAAGACCAGAGAGCTGTGTAAGGACATAAAATAGAGCTTTTTGGTCTAAACTCCACTCGCCGTGTATGGAGGAAGAAGGATGAGTACAACCCCAAGAACACCATCCCAACCGTGAAGCATGGAGGTGGAAACATCATTCTTTGGGGATGCTTTTCTGCAAAGGGGACAGGACGACTGCACCGTATTGAGGGGAGGATGGATGGTGCCATGTATCGCGAGATCTTGGCCAACAACCTCCTTCCCTCAGTAAGAGCATTGAAGATGGGTCGTGGCTGGGTCTTCCAGCATGACAACGACCCAAAACACACAGCCAGGGCAACTAAGGAGTGGCTCCGTAAGAAGCATCTCAAGGTCCTGGAGTGGCCTAGCCAGTCTCCAGACCTGAACCCAATAGAACATCTTTGGAGGGAGCTGAATGTCCATATTGCCCAGCGACAGCACCGAAACCTGAAGGATCTGGAGAAAGTCTGTATGGAGGAGTGGGCCAAAATCCCTGCTGCAGTGCGTGCAAACCTGGTCAAGACCTACAGGAAAAGTATGATCTCTGTAATTGCAAACAAAGGTTTCTGTACCAAATATTAAGTTCTACTTTTCTGATGTATCAAATACTTATGTCATGCAATAAAATGCAAATGAATTACTTAAAAATCATACAATGTGATTTTCTGGATTTTTGTTTTAGATTCCGTCTCACAGTTGAAGTGTACCTATGATAAAAATTACAGACCTCTACATGCTTTGTAAGTAGGAAAACCTGCAGTGTATCAAATACTTGTTCTCCCCACTGTGTGTGTGTGTGTGTGTGTGTGTATATATACACACACACACAACCGTTCAAAAGTTTGGGGTCACTTAGAAAATGTCCTTGTTATTTTAAAAATGGGGAATTTTTTTTATTTTCTTTCGAACACATCAAATTGATCAGAAATACAGTGTAGACATTGTTAATGTTGTAAATGGCTATTGTAGCTGGAAATGGCTGCTTTTTAATGGAATATCTACACAGGCGTACAGAGGCCCATTATAAGCAAGCATCAGTCCTGTGTTCCAATGGCACGTTGTGTTTGCGAATCCAAGTTTATCATTTTAAATGGCTAATTGATCATTAGAAAACCCTTTTGCAATTATGTTAGCACAGCTGAAAACTGTTGTTCTGATTAAAGAAGCAATAAAATGGGCCTTCTTGTGACTAGTTGAGTATCTGGAGCATCAGCAATGGTGGGTTCGATTACAGGCTCAAAATGGCCAGAAATAAAGAACTTTCTTTTTAAACTCGTCAGTCTATTCTTGTTCTAAGAAATTAAGGCTATTCCATGCGAGAAATTGCCAAGAAACTGAAGATCTCGTACAACGCTGTGTACTACTCCCTTCACAGAACAGCGCAAACTGCCTCTAACCAGAATAGAAAGAGGAGTGGGAGGCCAGCATCCCGGAGTCGCCTTTTCACTGTTGACGTTGAGACTGGTGTTTTGCGGGTACTATTTAATGAAGCTGCCAATTGAGGACCTGTGAGGCGTCTGTTTCTCAAACTAGACAATAATGTATTTGTCCTCTTGCTCAGTTTTGCACCGGGGCCTCCCACGCCTCTTTCTATTCTGATTTTGACTTGTTTTAAGGACATTACATCAAAGTTGGATCAGCCTGTAGTGTGGTTTTACACTAATTTTGAGGATGACTCCAAATCCAGACCTCCATGGGTTGATACATTTGATTTCCATTGATAATTTGTGTGATTTTGTTGTCAGCACATTCAACTATGTAAAGAAAAAAGTATTTAATAAGATTATTTCATACATTCAGATCTAGGATGTGTTATTTTAGTGTTCCCTTTATTTTTTTGAGCAGTGTATGTATGTTTGCGCACACACACAGTTGAAGTCAGAAGTTTACATACACCTTAGTCAAATACATTTAAACTCAGTTTCACAGTTCCTGACATTTAATCCTAGTAAAAAATTCCCTGTCTTAGGTCAGTTAGGATCACCACTTTATTTTAAGAATGTGAAATGTCAGAATAACAGTAAAGAGTGATTTATTTCAGCTTTAATTTCTTTCATCACATTCCCAGTGGGTCAGAAATCTACATACACTCAATTAGTATTTGGTAGCATTGCCTTTCAATTGTTTAACTTGGGTCAAATGTTTTGGGTAGCCTTCCACAAGCTTCCCACAATAAGTTGGGTGAATTTTGGCCCATTCCTCCTGACAGAGCTGATGTAACGGAGTCAGGTTTGTAGGCCTCCTTGCTCGCACGTGCCTTTTCAGTTCTGCCCACAAATGTTCTATAGGATTGAGGTCAGGGCTTTGTGATGGCCACTCCAATACCTTGACTTTGTTGTCCTTAAGCATACTTCCAAAGTTGTGGCAAAATGTCTTGGGGTCATTGTCCATTTGGAAAACCCATTTGCAACCAAGCTTTAACTTCCTGACTGATGTTTTGAGATGTTGCTTCAATATATCCACATAATTTTCCTTCCTCACGATGCCATCTATTTTGTGAAGTGCACCAGTCCCTCCAACAGAAAAGCACCCCCACAGCATGATGCTGCCACCCCCGTGCTTCACGGTTGGGATGGTGTTCTTCGGCTTGCAAGCACCCCCTTTTTCCTCCAAACATAACGATGATCATTATGGCCAAACAGTTCTATTTTTGTTTAATCAGACCAGAGGACATTTCTCCAAAAAGTACGATCTTTGTCCCCATGTGCAGTTGCAAACCGTAGTCTGGCTTTTTTATGGCGGTTTTGGAGCAGTGGCTTCTTTCTTGCTGAGCGGGCTTTCAGGTTATGTCAATATAGGACTCGTTTTACTGTGGATATAGATACTTTTGTACCTGTTTCCTCCAGCATCTTCACAAGGTCCTTTGCTGTTGTTCTGGGATTGATTTGCATTTTACGCACCAAAGTACGTTCATCTCTAGGAGACAGAACGCGTCTCCTTCCTGAGTAGTATGACAGCTGTGTAGTCCCATGGTGTTTATACAGTAGGGAAAAAAGTATTTAGTCAGCCACCAATTGTGCAAGTTCTCCCACTTAAAAAGATGAGAGAGGCCTGTAATTTTCATCATAGGTACATGTCAACTATTACAGACAAAATGAGGGAAAAAAATCCAGAAAAATCACATTGTAGGATTTTTTTATGAATTTATTTCCAAATTATGGTGGAAAATAAGTATTTGGTCAATAACAAACGTTTCTCAATAATTTGTTATATACCCTTTGTTGGCAATGACACAGGTCAAATGTTTTCTGTAAGTCTTCACAAGGTTTTCACACACTGTTGCTGGTATTTTGGCCCATTCCTCCATACAGATCTCCTCTAGAGCAGTGATGTTTTGGGGCTGTCGCTGGGCAACACAGACTTTCAACTCCCTCCAAAGATTTTCTATGGGGTTGAGATCTGGAGACTGGCTAGGCCACTCCAGGACCTTGAAATGCTTCTTACGAAGCCACTCCTTTGTTGCCCGGGCGGTGTGTTTGGGATCATTGTCATGCTGAAAGACCCAGCCACGTTTCATCTTCAATGCCCTTGCTGATGGAAGGAGGTTTTCACTCAAAATCTCACGATACATGGCCCCATTCATTCTTTCCTTTACACGGATCAGTCGTCCTGGTCCCTTTGCAGAAAAACTGCCCCAAAGCATGATGTTTCCACCCCCATGCTTCACAGTAGGTATGGTGTTCTTTGGATGCAACTCAGCATTCTTTGTCCTCCAAACACGACGAGTTGAGTTTTTACCAAAAAGTTTTATTTTGGTTTCATCTGACCATATGACATTCTCCCAATCCTCTTCTGGATCATCCAAATGCACTCTAGCAAACTTCAGACGGGCCTGGACATGTACTGGCTTAAGAAGGGGCACATGTCTGGCACTGCAGGATTTGAGTCCCTGGCGGCGTAGTGTGTTACTGATGGTAGGCTTTGTTACTTTGGTCCCAGCTCTCTGCAGGTCATTCACTAGGTCCCCCCGTGTAGTTCTGGGATTTTTGCTCACCGTTCTTGTGATCATTTTGACCCCACGGGGTGAGATCTTGCGTGGAGCCCCAGATCGAGGGAGATTATCAGTGGTCTTGTATGTCTTCCATTTCCTAATAATTGCTTAATTTCCCATTCCTAATGATGTCTTCAAACCAAGCTGCTTACCTATTGCAGATTCAGTCTTCCCAGCCTGGTGCAGGTCTACAATTTTGTTTCTGGTGTCCTTTGACAGCTCTTTGGTCTTGGCCATAGTGGAGTTTGGAGTGTGACTGTTTGAGGTTGTGGACAGGTGTCTTTTATACTGATAACAAGTTCAAACAGGTGCCATTAATACAGGTAACGAGTGGAGGACAGGGAAGCCTCTTAAAGAAGAAGTTACAGGTCTGTGAGAGCCAGAAATCTTGCTTGTTTGTAGGTGACCAAATACTTATTTTCCACCATAATTTGCAAATAAATTCATTAAAAATCCTACAATGTGATTTTCTGGATTTTTTTCTTCTCAATTTGTCTGTCATAGTTGACGTGTACCTATGATGAAAAGTACAGGCCTCTCATCTTTTTAAGTGGGAGAACTTGCACAATTGGTGGCTGACTAAATACTTTTTTCCCCCACTGTACTTGCATACTATTGTTTGTACAGATGAACGTGGTACCTTCAGGTGTTTGGAAATTAATCCCGAGGATGAACCAGACTTGTGGATGTCTACAATTGGGCTCCCGAGTGGCGCAGTTGTCTAAGGCACTGCATCTCAGTGCTTGAGGCATCACTACAGACCCCCTGGTTCGATTCCAGGCTGTAACACAACTGGCCGTGATTGGGAGTCCCATAGGGCGGTGCACAATTGGCCCAGCGTCGTCCGGGTTTGTCCGGTGTAGGCAGTCATTGTAAATAAGAATTTGTTCTTAACTGACTTGCCTAATTAAATAAAGATAAAATAAATAAATATATCTTAGATTCTTCAAAGTGGTTACCCTTTGCCTTGATGACAGCTTTGCACACTCTTGGCATTCTCTCAACCAGCTTCATGAGGAACGCTTTTCCAACAGTCTTGAAGGAGTTCCCACATATGCGGAGCACTTGTTGGCTGCTTTTCCTTCACTCTGCAGTCCAACTCATCCCAAAACATCTCAATTGGGTTGAGGTCGGGAGATTGTGGAGGCCAGGATATCATATGCAGCACTCCATCACTCTTCTTCTCGGTCAAATAGCCCTTACACACATTCTGGAGGTGTGTTGGGTCATTGTCCTGTTGAAAAACAAATGATAGTCGAAATAAGCGGAAACAGGATGGGATGGTGTATCGCTGCAAAATGCTGTGGTAGCCATGTTGGTTAAGTGTGCCTTGAATTCTAAATAAATCAACGACAGTGTCACCAGCAAAGCACCCCCACACCATCACACCTCCTCCTCCATGCTTCACGGTGGGAACCACACATGCGGAGATCATCCATTCACCTACCCTGTGTCTCAAAAAGACAAGGCGGTTGGAACCAAAAATCTCAAATTTGGACTCATCAGACCAAAGGATAGATTTCCACCGGTCTAATGTCCATTGCTCATGTTTCTTAGCCCAAGCAAGTCTCTTCTTCTTATTGTGTCCTTTAGTAGTGGTTTCTTTGCAGCAATTCGACCATGAAGGCCTGACTCATCCAGTCTCCTCTGAACAGTGGATGTTGAGTTGTGTCTGTTCCTTGAACTCTGAAGCATTTATTTGGGCTGCAATCTGTGGTACAGTTAACGCTAATGAACTTATCCTCTGCAGCAGAGGTAACTGGATCTTCCTTTCCTGTGGTGGTCCTCATGAGAGCCAGTTTCATCATAGCACTTGATGGTTTTTGCGACTGCACTTGAAGAAACTGTCAAAGTTCTAGAGATTTTCCGTATTGACTGACCTTCATGTCTTAAAGTAATGATGGACTGTCATTTGTCTTTGCTTATTTGAGCTGTTCTTGCCATAATATGGACTTGATCTTTTACAAAATAGGGCTGGCTATCTTCTGTATACCAACCCTACCTTGTCACAACAAAACTGACTGTCTCGAACGCATTAAGGAGGAAAGAAATTCCACAAATTAACTTTTAAGGCACACCTGTTAATTGAAATGCATTCCAGGTGACTACCTCTTGATTTTGAGGGCCAAATGGCCTTGCCCCTAAAATCATGAAATTCCAGGTCTGGTTGAGACACAGGAGTAATACAAGTAATACATGAGGAATAGGCTGGATTGGATTACTAGTGTACTACTACTATGAGAATAGACCTGAAGGTGCAGTGTATTTACAGTGTTGGGCATGTGGTGACTCACCCAGGATGATGACAGAGGTGGTGCCGTCTCCCACCTCCTCGTCCTGAGTGCGGCTGATCTCAATCATGGACTTGGCAGCCGGGTGCTGGACCTGGATCTGTGTATGTGGAAGCAGAGATAGAAGGAATGAGGTTGGCTTTACACTGGGGCACTGAACACTGATATTTTCTGCATGGAAGTAGACGTATGGGAATCATAGCAAGTGTGCTCTTCTCACCTCTCTCAGGATAGCGTTGCCATCGTTGGTCATCACGATCCCACCCATGGGGTCCAACAGCATCTTCACACACAGACACTCAAAGCATGTTATGGTTTCCGAATTCAAGTACTACCATAAAGTATGTTCCAGGCAAAACAGTGACAAAAACCTGAGGATAAAAAGAAACCTATAGCTCACCTTCATCATGGCCCTTGGTCCCAGGCATGTTCTAATGACGTCTGCGATCGTCTACAACACACACGAAAAAAGGTTTATCTAGGCAGTGTCAAAAGACAATGCATCATGGCTATCCTACATTCCTCATAAATTGAGCTACAGTAGCAATGTACTGGGTAGGGCTGTGACGATGCCAGTATCACAATATTCTTTCCATGGCAAAAATGAAAACAAAGCAGATTAAACTCTTTGGTCCTTAAACACCTGCTATATGTAAAATATTGTGTGCTATAGCTTGGAAATTAAATGTAACTCTAGATGACAACATAATGACGTTTGTTTCCAACATTAGGGCTGTTTTCCTAAAGAAGTGAAGTCTGCTTCATGTTTTGTTTCCTTGCCACAATGCTAACGATTATCGCGATACTGGTATCATCCCAGCCCTAGTCCTGGTCCTCATAGACAGCAATTAAACATCCAATTATGTTGAAATAACATAGCTAGAACCCATGTTAATTCTACCAAGTACAGTGGAAGACACCAAATAATGAGACCTCACCTTGGCTGCACTGATATTTCCCGTCTGAACCTTCCGTCCAGACTCCCTCTTCATATTCTGGCCTGTAGGGGAACATGAGAACGAAGTTAATACTATATTGTGTATGTTGTTTAAAATTGTGCAGACCAAAACATCATTACAGCAATTAGTCTAGTTAACTCTGGGATCCAACCAGTCTACGTTTGTTCTGCACCTTTTGATTTACATGTACAAATTAAGATCACACATCTGTAGCTCGAGAACTACCTACATCACACAATAGTTAGCTAGGCATATCATGTGTGTGGATTATGGATGTCTCATTTTGGAAGGCTGATATGTTATACTGTAATAATATGCCTTGCTGCTAACAGATAGATAAGCTACACACAAATACAGCACCAAAGTTGGCTTAATTCATCTGACATGCTAGCTACTGACATGCAGGAGCTGTCTAATGTTGACATGCCTGGAAGCTCCAACGACCAGGTTCAAATCCCAGTGATTTGAGTCAATCTTTGTTTGTTTCACTAATATGTTGCCAAACAGCTGGGCAGGACTCCCATGTTTTCAGCCCCAATTGGTCAACAGCAACCTAAGTAGCTAAAGTTAGCTAGCAAGAAATGACTGTCAATGTGTAACGTCATTGCAAAATGTATTCTTGAGAATGGACATTTGAGTTGAGCACTTAGCTAGCGGTTGTGTAAAATGCACTGTAGCCAGCCAGATAAGTTTGTTGTAACGTTATGATGTATGAAAATGTATGCACTCACTAACTGTAAGTCGCTCTGGATATGAGCGTCTGCTAAATGACTAAAATGTAAATGACGTTACAAAGTCATACAAAGAGCTAGTTAGCCTCCTAGCTAAATACTTTGCTAACGCTAGCTAGCGAACACTGTCAGTTGTCGGCAAGGAAGCAGAAGCACATGCTTTGTTGCTGGCTAGCTATGTAGCCTGTTTTGGCCGCTTGTCGGGATATTACAAACGACAGAAACATCAAAATGCGTCACATTTCCACAAAAATCAAAGTTATGATGTTGCTTATGGTTTTTCTATTTACTTACTCAGCACGAGAACCTGTTGGCCCATCATTGTGACAGCGTGTGTGGGACAACGGTCTGGAACCTTCTGGGCAGCACAAGAGGAAGAAGCTCCAGACGCCGGCCAGATTCCTTCCAGTGTCTTAACCAATAACTTTCGAGAAAAACATGATGTACTGTGATTTCCACCAATTAGGGAGACAGGGTAAATGCAGGCGGATTAAAGGGGAGGCGAGTATGTACATGGCATCATTGTGAAACACACCCTGTACCATATATTCATTGCCCTGTACAAAGCCAAGCAACTACATATACAGTAATCCAATATTGACTTGACCCTTTCTGAAATTCCTGTCGTTTAATTGAAACAATTATATATAATAAATCAATACCAAACCACTAATGCAGGGATCATCAACTAGATTGTAGCTCAGTTGGTAGAGCATGGCGTTTGCAACGCCAGGGTTGTGGGTTCGATAAAATAATGTATGCGCTAACTGTAAATCGCTCTGGATAAGAGCGTCTGCTAAATGACTAAAATGTAAATGTAATGTAGATTCAGCCGCGGGCCGATTTTTACTGGAGCGGATGGTCGGGGACGGGAACATAATTATAAATAATTTGTAGACAGCAAATTGACCACAAGAAACCCAAACAGATATAATGTTTGACTAAAACAATCATTTCAAACCTTGCTTACATTTGTATACGATTACGTCTCTCTATTATGTGTGGGAATACTTGGGAACAGATTTCTTAAATTAAAATCACTTTGAGCTGATTTCCTGGTGTTTTTACAGTCTTTTATGCTGAACAAAAATATAAACGCAACATGCAACAATTATATTGATTTTACAGAGTTACAGTTCATATGAGGAAATCAGTCGATTGAAATAAATTCATTAGGTCCTAATCTATGGATTTCACATGAATGCGAATACAGATATGCATCTGTTGGTCACAGATACCTTACAACAACAAAAAATGGGCCTCACAATGGGCCTCAGGATCTCGTCACGGTATTTTTGTGCATTAAAATGGCCATCGATAAAATGCAATTGTGTTTGTTGTCCGTAGCTTATGCCTGCCCATACCATAACCCCACTGCCAGCATGGGGCACTTTGTTCAATGTTAACATCAGCAAACCGCTTGTCCACAACACACCATACACGGGTCTGCGGTTGTGAGGCCAGTTGGACATGCTGCCAAATTCTCTAAAAGGAGAGAAATTAACATTCAATTCTCTGGCAACAGCCCTGGTGGACATTCCTGCAGCCAGCATTCCAATTGCATGCTCCCTCAAAACTTGAGACACCTGTGGTATTGTGTTGTGTGACAAAACTGCACATTTTAGAGTGGCCTTTATTGTCCCCAGCACAAGGTGCACCTGTGTAATGATCATGCTGTTTAATCAGATTATTGATATGCCACACCTGTCAGGTGGATGGATTATCTTGGCAAAGGAGAAATGCTAAATTTGAGAGAAATAAGCTTTTGTGCGTATGGAACATTTCTGGTATCTTTTATTTAGCTCATGAAACATGGGACCAACACTTTACGTTGCGTTTATATTTTTATACAATGAAACCCTGCAAATATGTATTCACTGATGTATGTATGCTTACTGTGTTACTATGTTGTCTGACAGTAGACTGTTGTCTGACTATTTTCCAGAAAAAAGTCAGACAAAGATTTATTTAAAATGGTACCAGCATCTTTTAAGTGAGAAAACGCCAAAGACATATCTCAATTTCTTAGCAGATCAAAAATAAAGAAAATGTAAGGATAATGGGTCCTCTGTGTGAAAAACTCTTGCAACACATAAAATGTACACCAATAAATCATAAGGCTCCGTCAAAAAAGAGACCATTAAGATAGCAAATATCCATTATGTTTTCACACATTATGTACAAAGTATGTTGCTTACTGTATTGCCCATACTCTATTTAATAAATATGATAAATAACACACAATATATATATATATATATATACACACACACCTGTCCTTCATAGCCACACCCAAACATCGTACACGCCTTTCAGAAGTTAATTGCTCTACAAAATCCTGGCAAAATGGCATATAATGATAGAAACATAAATAGAAACCTGAATATTCAAAAACATAGGGTGCAAACATTTGTTTTCAAAAAACACCATGGTGGCTACTTGTAATTTTTGCCAATCTGAATATTACCTTTACAGTATTTCCAATTTGGTTCATTTGATATTTGCATGGACAAAAAAAAGGAGAATGGCTTGGGATGTTTGGGGTTTAGTATGCAGTCAGGAGGCAGATAGATCAGGAGTGAGTGGTTGGTTGGTTGTTGGTGCTGTCTGGAATGACACTAACTCAGTAGCTCAAGCGCACATATAAAAAGACCAGCGGGTATTTATATCTGTCTGAACTTTTTTTTGGAACTAGGAAATATGGAGCCGTTTTAGATTATTTTACACAAGCAAGGTTAGCTGACCAACTCCTTGTTCCTGCTTTGTGAAATGCCACTGCAAAAGAGTGCTCAATATTAGCTGCCAATCTAAGGGTGTTGATGGGTTATCATTGGTGGAATGGATGGTATGGCTTATGATGGTGAGGAAGACATATGGTTCTGAGATAGAAGAGACGGTAAGTCAAGATCTATATAGAAACAAATAGGTGTTATTACAGTATCATTATTCAGCATCTATTTATCTCATGGTATTTGATGCATGACAAACCTGCACCAAACTGCTCCTTGGTGAGTTGATGCCGTTGATGTCCATTTAGATTTTGGCCTTTTATGAATGGAAATTGGGAAGGTTTGGTTCAGTCTTATGCCAAGACAATCAGCCTCCTCATCTCTCTTCCAGGTCACTTAACATTAGATGCTGGCAGTCCTCACTTATTGTTTTCTCTTCTTCTATAGCAGCGTTTCCCAAACTCGGTCTTGGGGACCACGAGGGGTGCACATTTTGTTTTTTGCCCAAGCACTACACAGCTGATTAAAATAATCAAAGCTTGATGATGAGTTCATTATTTGAATCAACTGTGTAGTGCTAGGGCAAAAACCAAAATAATAATAATAATAAATAATATGCCATTTAGCAGACGCTTTTATCCAAAGCGACTTACAGTCATGCGTGCATACATTTTTGTGTATGGGTGGTCCCGGGGATCGAACCCACTACCTTGGCGTTACAAGCGCCGTGCTCTACCAGCTGAGCTACAGAGGACCACAAAACATGCACCCCTTGGGATCCCCAGGACCAAATTTGGGAAACAACGTTCTATAGAAATCCTACTCCTCCTCCTGACCAATTACATGGGGCTCTGTTCCTGGAGAGTCAATCGTGAAACTTGGATTTCTTTCAAATCTGTTGTTTCAAGGAAATAAACTTTGTAGGTAGAGTTTTTGGAGTGTTATTTCATCAGAAATAAATAATCTCATCAGAAGTTGTGACTCTTCAAGAACAGAGTATCCACAACCGCAATTCCAGGGGTCTCAGGCTACATTTCCCATCATACACCCCTGCCATCGCCTAACTTCTGTTCACAGGTCTTCTCTCACGCCACTGACAACGGGGATGTGCGAGGCTTCTCTCTTCAAGTACTTGATGAAGTCCTTCACTTCACGGGGTCCCTGGAATTAGAGGAAAACATAGTAAGCTCCCTTTGTAACCCGACATATACAATCTTTGATACATCAGTATGTGCAGTGTTTCCCCTAGGATTCTTTTCAGCAATGGTGGCAAAAGTAGTGGGAGAAGTAGTTTTGCGAGCCATTGCTTTCAGTCATTGCGCTAACGCCAGTTAGCAACTTCCTTCAAACTGCACACAGAGACATAAAAATGGTATCCATTAGTTATTTTCACTCTGGGTAAGTAGGAAATGGGCTTCATTGTGAAAATCGTGCACTATCCCTTTAAAAGCATGTCTCGGCAGAAATATCTATTTATACAAAAAAATCTCTATATACAGTTGAAGTTTAGGTTAGAGTCATTAAAACTCGTTTTTCAACCACTCCACAAATTTATTGAAAACAAACTATAGTTTTGGCAAGTCGGTTAGGACATCTACTTTGTGACACAAGTCATTTTTCCAACAATTGTTTACAGACAGATTATTTTACTTATAATTCACTGTATCACAATTCCAGTGGGTCAGAAGTTTACATACACCAAGTTGACTGTGTCTTTAAACAGCTTGGAAAATTCCAGAAAATGATGGCATGGCTTTAGAAGCTTCTGATAGGCTAATTGACATCATTTGAGTCAACACCTGTGGATGTATTTCAAGGCCTACCTTCAAACTCAGTGCCTCTTTGCTTGACATAATGGGAAAATCAAAAGAAATCAGCCAAGACCTCAGAAAATAAATTGTAGACCTCCACAAGTCTGGTTCATCCTTGGGAACAATTTACAAACACCTGAAGGTACCACGTTCATTTGTACAAACAATAGTACGCAAGTATAAACACCATGGGACCACGCAGCCGTCATACCACTCAGGAAGTAGACGCGTTCTGTCTCCTAGAGATTAACGTACTTTGGTGCGAAAAGTGCAAATCAATCCCAGAACAACAGCAAAGGACCTTGTGAAGATGCTGGTGGAAACAGGTGAAAAAAAGTATATATATCCACAGTAAAACGAGTCCTATATTGACATAACCTGAAAGGCTGCTCAGCAAGGAAGAAGCCACTGCTCCAAAACCACCATAAAAAAGCCAGACTACGGTTTGCAACTGCACATGGGGACAAAGATCGTACTTTCTGGAGAAATGTCCTCTGGTCTGATTAAACAAAAATATAGCTGTTTGGCCATAATGACCATCGTTATGTTTGGAGGAAAAAGGGGGTTGCTTGCAAGCTGAAGAACACCATCCCAACCGTGAAGCACGGGGGTGGCAGCATCATGCTATGGGGGTGCTTTGCTGCAGGAGGGACTGGTGCACTTCACAAAATAGATGGCATCATGAGGAAGGAAAATTATGTGGATATATTGAAGCAACATCTCAAGACATCAGTCAGGAAGTTAAAGCTTCGTCGCAAATGGGTCTTCCCAATGGACAATGACCCAAAGCATACTTCCAAAGTTGTGGCAAAATGGCTTAAGGACAACAAAGTCAAGGTATTGGAATGGCCATCACAAAGCCCTGACCTCAATCCTATAGAAAGTTTGTTGGCCGAACTGAAAAAGTGTGTGCGAGCAAGGAGGCCTACAAACCTGACTCAGTTACCCCAGCTCTGTCAGGAGGAATGGGACAAAATTCACCCAACTTATTGTGGGAAGCTTGTGGAAGGCTACCCAAAACATTTGACCCAAGTTAAACAATTTAAAGGCAATGCTACCAAATACTAATTGAGTGTATGTAAACTGCTGACCCACTGGGAATGTGATGAAATACAGTGGGGAAAAAAAGTATTTAGTCAGCCACCAATTGTGCAAGTTCTCCCACTTAAAAAGATGAGAGAGGCCTGTAATTTTCATCATAGGTACACGTCAACTATGACAGACAAAATGAGGGAAAAAATTCCAGAAAATCACATTTTAGGATTTTTAATGAATTTATTTGCAAATTATGGTGGAAAATAAGTATTTGGTCAATAACAAAAGTTTCTCAATACTTTGTTATATACCCTTTGTTGGCAATGACACAGGTCAAACGTTTTCTGTAAGTCTTCACAAGGTTTTCACACACTGTTGCTGGTATTTTGGCCCATTCCTCCATGCAGATCTCCTCTAGAGCAGTGATGTTTTGGGGCTGTCGCTGGGCAACACAGACTTTCAACTCCCTACAAAGATTTTCTATGGGGTTGAGATCTGGAGACTGGCTAGGCCACTCCAGGACCTTGAAATGCTTCTTACGAAGCCACTCCTTCGTTGCCCGGGCGGTGTGTTTGGGATCATTGTCATGCTGAAAGACCCAGCCACGTTTCATCTTCAATGCCCTTGCTGATGGAAGGAGGTTTTCACTCAAAATCTTATGATACATGGCCCCATTTATTCTTTGCTTTACACGGATCAGTCGTCCTGGTCCCTTTGCAGAAAAACAGCCCCAAAGCATGATGTTTCCACCCCCATGCTTCACAGTAGGTATGGTGTTCTTTGGATGCAACTCAGCATTCTTTGTCCTCCAAACACGACGAGTTGAGTTTTGACCAAAAAGTTCTATTTTGGTTTCATCTGACCATATGACATTCTCCCAATCCTCTTCTGGATCATCCAAATGCACTCTAGCAAACTTCAGACGGGCCTGGACATGTACTGGCTTAAGCAGGGGGACACATCTGGCACTGCAGGATTTGAGTCCCTGGTGGCGTAGTGTGTTACTGATGGTAGGCTTTGTTACTTTGGTCCCAGCTCTCTGCAGGTCATTCACTAGGTCCCCCCGTGTGGTTCTGGGATTTTTGCTCACCGTTCTTGTGATCATTTTGACCCCACGGGGTGAGATCTTGCGTGGAGCCCCAGATCGAGGGCGATTATCAGTGGTCTTGTATGTCTTCCATTTCCTAATAATTGCTCCCACAGTTGATTTCTTCAAACCAAGCTGCTTACCTATTGCAGATTCAGTCTTCCCAGCCTGGTGCAGGTCTATAATTTTGTTTCTGGTGTCCTTTGACAGCTCTTTGGTCTTGGCCATAGTGGAGTTTGGAGTGTGACTGTTTGAGGTTGTGGACAGGTGTCTTTTATACTGATAACAAGTTCAAACAGGTGCCATTAATACAGGTAACGAGTGGAGTACAGAGGAGCCTCTTAAAGAAGAAGTTACAGGTCTGTGAGAGCCAGAAATCTTGCTTGTTTGTAGGTGACCAAATATTTATTTTCCACCATAATTTGCAAATAAATTCATAAAAAATCCTACAATGTGATTTTCTGGAGAAAAAAATTCTCATTTTGTCTGTCATAGTTGACGTGTACCTATGATGAAAATTACAGGCCTCTCTCCTCTTTTTAAGTGGGAGAACTTGCACAATTGGTGGCTGACTAAATACTTTTTTCCCCCACTGTAAATAAAAACTGAAATAAATCATTATTTCTACTATTATTCTGACATTTCACATTCTTAAAATAAAGTGGTGATCCTAACTGACCTAAGACAGGACATTTTTACTAGGATTAAATGTCAGGAATTGTGAAAAACTGAGTTTAAATGTATTTGGCTAAGGTGTATGTAAACTGTATATATTTGTAATAATATTTTTTTTGAGTGGCGGGACGCTGCTGCTAAATGAATATAGGGGAAACACTGGTATATGACTAGTTTGTGTCTGCTTGTGTAAAATGGTAATAACAGTGTAGGGAGACTTCACCTCATATCGTTTGGGCTGGTCCTTCTTGTCTGCCCGAGCAAAGTAGATGGTGGGAAACCTACAGAACAATAAAAGAGAGAGCGAGAGAAACACAATGAATAAATGACCAGAGACAGGGAGAAAATGAATGGAAAGATAAGTGAGTGCTGATAGAAGGGATAGGATAACCAGGTGATAAAGTGTGATGTCTCACCCTTGCACATCAAAGCCTTGTGGAACATCATTGGCTGTGGCATCCATCTTGGCAATGACAATATTAGGGTCAGAGTAGAGCTGAGGAGAGAGGAAAACAGGAGAAATAACCAATGAGAACAAAGGGCTTTACTTGGCTTTAGCTCTTTTCCTTAGTTTATTGACAAATTACAATTTTCAATGGCATACAATTGTTCTGAGGAAAGCCATAATAGTAAACCGTGGCAATTGGTGAGTCTGTGTATGAGTGTGTAGTCTTTCTCACCTGTTCTGCCAACTCCTTGTACTTGGGCTCCAGGCTCTTACAGTGACCACACCAGGGGGCATAGAACTCAATCAGCACATCCTTCTCAGGGTCATTCACAATCTCTTCAAATGACTCCGCCACCACTACCTGTGAGTGGGTGCACACACAAACAGAGAAAATAACTGTTAATTGTCATGACAACAAAATCAGAAACACAAATGTACTGTGATTGAGTATTGAATAATAACACAGAAATACACACACACACCCGTACACATAGACAAACAACAAACATACCTTGACGGGACCCTTGTTTTTCTCAGGTATGGGCTCCGACTTGATGTAACGTTTTAGTCGTCCAGCAAAGTAATCCTCAAGGAATCTTTCCAGGGACTTCCCATCTCGCCTGTTAAATAGGTTCAACAACAAACATCATTAGTAGAGTTGTATGTGGTAGAGCTCAGATTTTAGACTTAGTTGAGGTTCTATGTCTGTAACTCACGTGAACTCCTCCCTCATGGTGTACTTGAAGCCCTGTCGTGTTCTGATGGTTACGAAGGGCAGATCTCCTCCGTCTGACGCACCCAGACCAAACTCCTCCTCCAGCTCGTCCACAAAGTCCCCGCGATTAGCCACGGCAAAACTCAGGCCCTGGGATGCAAACTGATAACCCACCTTCATCACCCTGAGAAAAGCGAATGAACTAAATTTAATAATAATGATAAGAGACTTATATACCACCTTGTATACAATATTTGGAGTTCAGGTATTATATGTACTGTATGTAGGCTAAGATCTAAATCAAAATAAATAATACGAGAATATACATATCTACATTACTACTTGGTCACACTTTACGTTGCCCAATGACCATGTAAGATAATAATAGTATTTCAATATCATCTCATTAAAAAAACAAGTGCAACATAATTGTAACCAATACAATAATAACATACCTACTATGAATTCAGTATCAAATGAAAAACAGAACTGAAATAAAAGAGAAAGTTCCTATTAATTGTGGGTAATCTAATACGAGTGTGGTTTAAAGTGTTGTGGTATTGGAGGTGTACCAACCTGTTCCTCCAATAGTTGGAGCCTTTGGGATTCCGCAGGTAGTCCAAATCATAGTACGCAGTCAACAAGTCCTGCCCCTTCAACTTATCTCTGTTCTCATTGGTCAGATGGGGGCACATTCCGAAACTGACCAAAGGAAACAGGAAGACCAATAATGTTAGACACTCAAGTAGCGATAGAGAGGGAAAGAGAGATAGGGATATGAAAAAGAGAGACTGATATGATATGATAGAGAGAGAGACTAAAGTAACACAGACATTCAGGTAGATTTAGAGTAGACAGATGGGAGTAGGAGTCTTACATGTTGTCTCTGATGAAGCGGCGCAGTGTGTGGGTGGTGACTGTCTCAGTGAAGCGCAGCACGCTCTCCTCAAACTTACTGCTCAGCCTTGGGGGCCTGAACAGCAGAACACTCCTGGAGAGATGCAGGGGAGAGAGATAAGACAGTAGTTGATCAGTCTGTTGGTCACACCATGTACAGTCACACTATAGCAGTGTTTCTCAATCCATTTCTGGGTGTACACAATTTTGCTCTAGCCCAGCACTAAGACACCTGATTGAACTCAACAGGGTTATCTTGATCTCACTCTCTATCACGCTCCCTTCTTCCCATTCTCTCCCTCCCCATCTCTCTATCACTTCCTCCCTCCCTTTTTCTCTCTCTCACTCACTCAGTGTCCACCCCGTGTTTGAGGCCCAGGGCCATGTCGATGGTGTGGGCGAAGCGGAAGTGCTCCCTCATGACACCGGCCGCCTTCAGAAACTCTGCCAGCTGAGCACTGTCAGGCCCAGAGAAGAAACCTGAGAGGGGAGAGAGAAGTATGGAGAGAAAGTACATTAGCCCTTTCCAACACTGCTATTGTGTTGGCTTCCACCATGTTGCATTCACCTCTCACAAGGTTTTTCAGAGCAGTGGACATAAATTAAATTATGGCCAATGTGAAAAGTACAGAATCAGGGGGCCAAAGATTCAGTTAAGAACAAACAGGTATCTATACTCTTCTAGAGTACTACTTACCCACTACACTGGCGTCAAAGTTGTTGACAAAGGCCTCGAGGTCTGCCTCTCTGCGCAGGGTAACCGAGTTGGGTCCAGCCTGCTTCTTCATGTAGTGGACAATGCCATCTGTGTGTATGCAGACAAATGCATTAGTAGGCCTACATGATTAGTGTACTTTAATTAACAACATTCAATCACACACACACACCTGCTGAGCGTGGTCCGTCATAGGACGAGGAGTCTTCTCCGTTTCTGAAGATCTTGAGCGTGGGGTACCCTGTGACCCCGAAACGCCCGCATGTGTCTGGGCTCGCTGTGCAGTCCACCTGAGGGGTGAGAGAGTGAGATGGATTGAAGAGATACAGAGGATAGGGAGGTAGAGAGAGAGGAAGTGTGAAAGGAGAGAGAAAGAAAGGGATATATAGTCACAGTAAAACAATTATAGAAAGCAAAAGGAGTGGAAAATTTGTGGAGAAAGAGAATGCCAGAGGCAATAGACCCCTTTCTGTGTTTGCAGAAATTGCTGCAGGAGGGCGATGTGTGCAAGTTGGTGGCAGAACACTTGGGAGTTCTTATAGAAAATAAGAAATGTATATGTTGCTTATGAGTGCATTTCACACCGCTATTGGATTATAATTGGATTTTAAGGCTTGTATGAATGTCCTGCTTAATATAATGTTTGTGTCATCATCGCAAATCAACTGCATTATACTTAAAAAACACTTCAACTTCAACCAGAAAAATGGCTCGTTGGCTAGCTTTTGCTACAGCCTATGTCAATGAGCATTAGCATTCATGCTAACAACTGCTGCATCCAAAATAGTTATTTTGCAAAGATCACAACCAAATATAATCTTAGCAACTTTTCAAGCAAGAATCAAAACATAATTGTAAGCGTATGTTGAATGAAATCCAGGCTATGTAGAATGGGCGCAGATGTCGATGCCTTTCTTCCTGCAGTCAAGAGTCGCGTCGACATCACTGTGTAGTGTACTTGGAAGGAGTCTATATAAAGTACATTAGCCCTTTCACATAATATCCCAGGGTTATATAAATAGCTACTGTACCACAAATTGGCAGCATGCTGCAATGTGCCCTTTCCCTCCCAGAGCACACCTAACTAACCTCAGAGAAACAAGCCTATGCAGGTGCAGTGAGAATGTGACACGTAATGCACGCAACTCCCAATTAACACTGTGTAACTCTGCATGAAGGCAAGAGTTTGAACACCTGGTTATTTTGTTATGCATTCAAATAACATGGAAATTAAATAGGTAAACAAAATCAATTGGCAGCTATTCTGACAGAGTGGTGTGGTAGCTATATCATACCTTAGCAAGTGGCACTGTCCCTTTCAGTCGAGTGGCTGCGGTCTCAAAATCTGGGGCTAGTTTCTTACAATGTCCACACCTGCGAAGCAAATAATGATAAAATAGATTACTGGAGATATAATGCAAGGAACTGAATATGAGGTGACAGGCAATGCAATTGATACCATAGTTATGCGTGGGTATAAATGTATTATACCTGTAAAACTCATAAGCAAATTGGGGTTATAAAGACATCATATAGCCAATTTTGAAAAAATTATATAAATAACTAAAATACTGTTTGCACATAACGGCCATCATGCTGCTAGCTAGCTTATCTTGATACAGTAGCTACTTGCCTTGAGCTTGACAGCTGATACAGAGAATATAGCTAGCTGGCTAACGGAACATGTCTTGGACAGTCGCCTAGAATAGATACTGTACATACATATTTGCCTTAAATTACATTGCATGTCTAGAAATTACAATGGCTATAGACATAAGGGAATGTTTCACTTTGTTCTCTCACCATGGAGCGTAGAATTTCACTAACATCGTGTCGTGCTCCGCTGCAAGGTAATCGAAATCCGCGTCCCCTAGCTCGAGCACATCACCCCGTGCGACTACCGCGCCAGAAAATATGACAACCGATAACGTGAAAGCAGGGACGAGCGACAAAAAGGAAGCCATATTTCTAAATGTTGCAAGTAAACAGAATGATCAAATAAAATACAGAAACATAAAAGAGTCCATATGTTGTGGAGAAGAGGACCCTCGCTGTCACCCTGCGGCTCCTCTTTCGTAAAAAAGACTATAGTGGACAATTTAAAGGCGGGACATAAACAGAATATGACGGAAACTGGCCTTGTCATTGGTCGAGGAGGACATACATTGATGCGATGTAAGTAGTACATCGGTCCACTTTGATGTCAGACCGAACATGGCGGAAGCGGATGATGAAGTGGAATCTAAATACAATGGCGGTGGAATCAAGGAGAATTGGAGTATTGTTCAAAAGAATGGAAAACGGAGCAGGGTACAGTGATGAGAATGACCCTTCGTATCTAGTAGGAGTACGGTTTGTTAATAAGGAGCAGCTGAGCAGAGTACCAATCTTGAAGAAACAATTTTAGTTATCCAAACTGGTGGAGAGAGTGCTTGGTAAAGTGAAGGATGTGAGGATCACGAGAGGCGGGCTTGTTTAGATTTTTTGTGATTCTGGGGAACAGAAGGAATGTGCGTTGTGTCTTAATCGAGTTGATACGTTTGAAGTGTTGTGTGTGTCGCTTCAGAAACAGGGCACCGCTTAAGGGTTTTTTATCTGGCGTTTCGTGGGAAGTTGATTTGGAAGAGATGACAAATATTCTTTGAGTGTCGGATGAATCGAGTGATGAATGGGGAAAAAGTGAAGAGCTTATCTGTTCTTTTGTTTTTTGAAATAGAGCCTCTCCCTAATGAAGTGCGGTTAGGGTATATTAACTACAGAGTTAGAGCATTTATCCCAAGAACATTGCAGTGTGAACATTGTAAAACTTTTGGTCATGTAGAAAGTGTTTGCAGAAGGGAGAAGCCGAAATGTACAAGATGTGGAAAATATCATGTGTTATAAAAGTGAAGAAAATGTGACATGTAATTGCGGTGGGAATCATGAAGCCACGTCTTCTGAATGCCTCACAAAGGTAAACGAGAATGAGGTGGCAAAGTCAGGGTTGTACAGAGCATTTCATATGCAGAAGCTGTGAAAAGGGTTGAGGGTTTGAATGTTGCACCAGAAGAGTCCATGGTAGTGGATAGGCCTTCACTGCAGGCTGCAGGGGTTGTCTTACACCAAGAGGATACTGACATTTTAAAGGTTAAAAAGGTGGACTTTGTGGCCTTCATCGCAATGGTGATAAATGGCACTGCCAAGGTGGAGAAAATATCTAGGAAGATTGAAATCATTCTGATTGCGGCAGTGGTTACTGGGGCTGAAAGATTTCACAGCAAAGGAGTTACATGGAATATTGGCAAAAGCTGTACCACCTTCTCAGGTCCTAGAGCCTGAGAAGGGAGATATGGAGAACTAAAAGAAGGAAGAAGTGGGAGTTGTTTGTTTGGGCAATATACTATTTTTGTTAGGATCACTTAAGTATGGATTTATTTATTTAAATTTATTTTTTGGTTTCAAATTGTCCACTTGGTGGCTACAATACAACTTTTGGATGTAGTCTGCCATAAAACCCACAGAAGAAGAACTTTGTCAATCATAGTACAACCAATGTCCATATCATCACACATGACTGGCTTCATACAGTACAAGTTACCTTTTATTTGTACATGGCACCTGTCCCAAATATACGCCATCAATTTACAGACATCAAATAGTATAAATAAGAATTCCAACAAACTGGAGAGAAGGCACCATTGTTTTATTCTGTAAAACAAATGTGTACATTTCATTCAAATATACACAATTTCCCACCCACTCACCATGTAAGACCAGTAGATGCATTACAAAACAGAATGGCAAACTGTATTTGTAGTTGGCAACAGGGCAACCCTCGCCATTTGGGGGCCCTAGGCGAGAATGGTAAATTAGTCTAGCCAGCCCCCAACCCAATCAAAAAAGTGTTAGCGGACATGGCTAATTTAGTGACTGACATGAGAAAAACTGCTGATGCACAACCAAATTTCGAAATTGCACCTTGTGTATTCTACTATTCTAACTCTCAATAGTAAGTTGTAAGTAACAGTAAGTTGAGACCCCTTGGTGATCGCCTATGTCGCTTATGCCTGGGGCCTGCCCTGGTTGTTGGCAATCAATTACCCGTTTTCCCCTTTAACAAAATATTTACATTTCAGCTGATCATTTCAACATGATTGTGCTACTGTATGTGTCCATTTTCATTGAAATCCCCTCAACAGCACACTAAATATTATGTGGAGCCAAGGCACCACGACCACTTTTACATATTCTCCAATCATTGACTCCTTTATACAATCAAGACAATTGTACTTCACATTTGCTGCACCTCCTCCCACCTAAATGGTTCATAACACCAGGAACCTCATGTGGCCTGCACATTACACTAATGCACACCAGCACATAAATGTAAAGAATCCTCTCATTAGTGGACCCATATAGTGACATCTAAGAGAAACGTCTTTGCAGTCCCCTATAGTGTTGAGTCAGAGATTCTTATACAGTCCCAGCCAAGTATTCAGAGATTGTTAAATCAAGTGCTCCTCCTTTTCTGTAGCTTGGACTGCTCTCAGGTCAGTCCAGCTGACTGTTATAACAGAACTCTTCCCCTGGGCCACGCTCAGTATATGTCCATTTGAACGTTCCACATTGTGTCTCGCTGAACACAGCCCTGGTGTTGGGTCCAGTTCAGTCCGGTTCTGGCTCTCTGCTGCTGGTTGGCTGCTCTGTGTCACTAATCTCATCGGAGCAGACCCGTTGGGTGGAGAAACGGAACAGGCGCATGAGGTCCTGGAAACGGGCGCAAACCTAGAGGAGACATGTTTAGGAAGGTTACAGTAAAGGGATAGAAGGGTAAAATGGCCAAAGGAATCATCTTAAATCACACACAGACCCAGTTCCATTTTAGTACCCATTGGTCTAGCTGTTGGCCCTTCTGTGGCCCTTCACAGATCTAAATAGGTAGTAACATGGTGATGGTTCTACCCAAACTAGCAGTTTCCTTCACATTGCTATCCTGTTCTTTCAGCCCCATAGTGGGGCTATGGGAAGTGGTAGAAATGGAACTGGGTTTGGTACTCCCACCTCATTGGCTGTTTTGTTTTCAAGTTGGGTGGAGATGGCCTGAAAAGTGCTTTTATTAGCTCCCTTCTGTTGGCAGGCGGTCAAGATGGCACGGTCTGCCTCCCTGTTAAAAAATAACAATAACGAAACAAGATTGAATACAATAATTTATATTGCGAAGTATCTATTTGACAATATACCAGAATGGTAGAATCCACTTTGCATCCCACTCCTTAAATGAGTATACAACAGGAGGACAATGGCTCTAACCTGGTCCAGAGGATGACTTTCTCTCCACTGGGTGTAAGCGAGATGTTTTTGGCACAGACTGGGCGGTTGGAGCGATCCCCTTCTTTCTCCTCGTCCACTTCATCCTCCCTTTCTTGTTTGGCTTTTGGGGTTTTAGGACCTTGGCATCTCTTAGGTTTATTTGCTGCTGACTTCTGGGAAATGGAGTTTGTGTTGGTCACATCACCACAGCCTCTATTCTCAGTCTGACAGCGCAGCGAGGGCCGTACGTGGAGCTCGTTGAAAAACCCCCAGAATTCCCCCTGTAGGTGGGTGTGACCTCGGAGAAGGGTAGCCATCTGAGCTTTCATCTGAAAGACAGAGAAAGAGACATAATGTTCTAATATACTACCTATTGAATCTGATAAATAAATGGACCTCCACTATGATATTTCAATCCCATCTGCTTTGCTAGATTTGATATTATGTTATATTGCCGTTTTCCAAGACAAAGGTAGAACATTCTGCTCATGTGAATGTGAAATCAATGTAGCATCCCCTAGCACACCTCCTTGATGCCAGCAGGACTGAGAGTAGGGCCTCTTTGAAGGACGCTCACTATCTTGCAGTAGTGCGAGGAGGTTTCCCCAAAGCTCAGCTCCAGTTGTCGCAGGAAGCGCCGGCTACGCTCAAATGCCTGCTGTTCTGCGAGCTACGGCAGGGGGAGGAGGAGAAGGAATAATAAGACTATGCACCGTCTGTCACACACAAATAACAGACCAGTGGGCTTTAGTTTTGATGAAAGCACACACACACAAACAAAAGCATGCACGTGTGCGCACACACGTAATGGACAAGTTTCAAAGTGTGTATTTACAAAGTGAATAGAAGGCCAAGCCAGCACATACCAGTCCACACTCCTGGGCTTGTTCGGGATGGAGGAAGGCAGCAAAGTCTCGGAGCAGCTCCGGCCACTCATTCAGAACAGGCTTTAGCCTCGTGAAGAGTGCCACAGAGGTGTGCTTATCTCCATCCTGCTCAAACTCATAGAGTACCTCCAGAAACTCCTCCACGCGCCCCGGCACCTCCTGCAGGGCATGGCACACCTGGTCATAGAGAGCAAGAGTTATATTTGCAGTAGGATTAAGGATTTCTTAACTTCTTAGCTGTTAAGTCCCCTATATAGGGACATTTGCATAAGGAGTGACGTGTCACATTTTCTGGCCTATCCAGACAAATAATTGATTTGCTCTTCCTTTGAGTGACTGAGCCCAGCCTGGGAGACGGTATATGAAAGGGGACAGTCTAGCGAATACAACAGTTGTGGTTTCATCTCACGGTGATATTCTCAGTCAGATTTAGAGCTCTCAACATGAAAAAATACTACATAATGTCATAGAATTTAAACAAGACCACTTTCTCTTGGTCACAGATGGACTTCATGCTTAAAGCTGCAGTTGTAATGAATCTGCACACATTTGAATGGTGTCTCTGCGCCGCTCAGTGGACTATTTACATTGACTGACCCCCCTTGTTTTTACACTGCTGCTACTCACTGTTTATCATCTGTTATGCATAGTCACTTTACCCCTACCTACATGTACAAATTACCTCGACTAACCTGTATCCCAGCACATTGACTCGGTACCGGTACCCCATGTATATAGCCTCGTTATTGTTATGTAATTTTCTTGTTACTTTTTATTTAATTTTTTACTTTAGTTTATTTAAGAAAATATTAACTAAATCTATTTATTGAACTGCATTGTTGGTTAATGGCTTGTAAGTAAGCATTTCACGGTAAGGTCTACACCTGTTGTATTCAGCGCATGAGACAAATACAATTTGATTTGATTTGTTTAGAAGAAATGTCTGTCGTCAGTTATATGAAATTGTGCCAATATTGTACTGTCACTAAGTATGATCATATTTATTTTACTGTTCTAAGGTGAAATCTTTTAGTAAGTAGTTTATAATTTGTTTCTATATTTAGAAAGCATTTTTTTGTCATTTCCAGCCCTATTGCCCCACTTTTGTTGAATAAGAAAAATATGAAAAGTCATATGTTTGTACTATGTACTTGAGCTTGTGTCCTCAAAGTGAGTACATCTCAGCAATTTATAACTATTTTTACCAGAAAGGTGAGTTCCAGACCTTTCTAGAACTGCAACAACAGTTGTTTATGCAATCGCAAGCTGCCTTATTCCGTTGTGGTTTCGGATTGAATGCCACCCCAGTCTATTTCAAATGATTATTTTGGCCAACTTCACACAATGCAAGGGGTATTAATCAGACAGAAAATGTAGCCCAAAGCCTTTGCAGCCTTTTATGTGCCTTGGGTGCGAGAAATGCACTTTATAAATAAAATGAATTACTATTTACCCTGTTGAGATAATTCTGAGCGAAGGCTATTTCCTTCTTGTCCCTCAGGGGGTCGCTGTCGAGTACGTCGTCATCGTCGTAGAGGATTGTTGGGCTTTTGGACTTCCCCTCACTGCCAACTTCTCCAGTGTGATGCTGCTCGTGCTTTGAGCTGGGAGGGTTGGGGGTGCTACTACGGCAGCCTGGGAAGGACAAATCAAATCCAGCAGGTGTGGTTAGATGGGAGAAGAGCAGGAGGATTCCCAAATTCCAAATAGACCCCTAGGACTTTGTAGAAATCTGAAAGGAATAGGTTTATGAAATATATCAATGCTATGTGAAGTGTTCCCCCCCATACGCATTTAGCAGCAGCTGCCACTGCAAATTGTGGCCGACACTATGCAAAAAAAAATATGTATATATATTTTATTTATAATATAGTTATATTCCCCAGGAAGACCCCATCCTCCGCCCTGCGCAGGAAGACCCCAGGAAGACCACCCCCACTTTGCTAACTTTGCCACCGCTGCTGAAAAAATCCTAGTGGAAAAACCGTATGTGTGTGTCCCTCCATGTTGTGGTGTTTAAAGATAGGCGGGATGCTAACCTGAGAGTGTGCATGATCGTTCGCCTTCTTCCGAGTCCTCTGACCTCCCCCCTGACAGTTTCTCCATCGTCTCCTACAAGAAAAGATAACACACAAACCAAAACTATGAGATGTGTGATATGTGTAAAGCACTTTGTAAATAAAATTGATTAATATGTTGTAATATCAACGTGTGGAATGACTTCACTCACTTCCAGCTCTGGCACGGACAACGTGGACTCCTCGGAGGCTGGTGACATCACTTCCTCTACCTCCTGATCTCTGACTCCCCTTGCCTCGTCATCCTCTCTCCCTCCGTCCCACATACCCGACGGCCTGGGCGATAGGGTCAGCGTTATCTCCTGCCCCTCCTCTGACTCCTCCATGGGGTCAATGGAGTCAACGCTCCCCGGGGGACTGGCCGAGGACTCCGACAGGGCCAGGAGGGGAATTCCAAAATCATCCCCATCCTCCCTGCCACAGTCCTCTTTCTCTTCCCTCTCCTTATCTCCCCCCTCTCCCTTCACCACCTCCTCTTCCTCCATTACAACTGTGACATAGTCGTCTAGGGTCAGAGCCTGGTCCAGTGCAGGGGGTTCCCGGGAGGCTGAAGGCTGGGGCTGCCCCTCACTCTTCAGGCTGCTTTTGGGTTTCTTCGTCACCCGCCGGCTGGTCCTGGAGGATTTGTCCTTGAATTGTTCGATAGGAATCGTAGTAGAGACAGAGGTTTGGGTTTCGGTACTAGTTGAGGCTGTTCTACTATTCATATGGGAAAACAAAAGGAGGTTTGCATCACTGTTAAGGGTCACGGTATTCAGGTTTGTTTGCGGAGGGTTCTTCTTGTTAGGTGGAAGAGCTGGCAGCAGCCTGGGCAGCCTGCGGAGGTTGGCGAATGTGCTGAACTTCAGAGCAATCAGGTCTTTGGCCAATAGAGCAGAATGTGACAACCGGGAGGCCAATACCCTGGCGGAAGGGGCGGGACAAAGGACAGCCACTGGGGCAGGCAAATTGAGAATGACCTGCAGGGGCTTCTGGGAAAGTTTGGGTTGAGGCCTGAGGGGTTGTTTCAGATGAGGTTTGGTGGGATGCTGAAGAAGAGGAGGTTTGGATGTTGCAGGCTGGATGGGTTGCAGTTTGTGGTGGGCCATGCACTGCTGAATCACAGCACCAGTCTGGGAATTATTTTCTGAGTGTGTAGTTCCACTTTCTAGACTGTGGGTGGCGCTGTGCGATACGGCCAGGGACAGTGAGAGGTCACAGGCTGGTGGACGGTGCCAGCGCCTGAAGCCACAGCGCTGGAATGAAAGGTTGTCGGGGAGTTGGGGCGGGTAGCGAGTCGCGGCTGGGAAGCTGTAGTCCAAGGTTCTGGAGGAACTGAAGAGAAGCGTGATGAGTGGGGCTTTCTTTGATTGACAGGCCGACATGGCTTCTGTATCCGGCAAGCTGTTGAGGTCTTCGATTGCCTCGTAGATATAAGGCAAACTTCCCTGTAGGAATAGAACATTTATTTAAATCAATATTAACTATTTAGTTGGTTCCTGAAACTTCATCCTTTATCCAAACAAAGTTGACTTTTATCTTATCTTCACCGATACAAACAAACTTCCAGTCCGAAAAAATCTTTATTGTTAGCAGATCTGACAATAAGTGTTTGCAATACAGTGGAAGCTCCCCTAGGGAAATTGGAATGCTAGGTGGCCAACAATATAGTTTCTAACTATCCTAAGTGTTGATTTGTGATTGGGATCAGGCAGTAGTACTCTAAGTGTAGTTGGTACCTTCAGCCATCCGGGCATGGCTCTCTCCTCTCTGTCCACTGGCGGGCGCAGGTCACCCGGCATCACTTGGTCACAGGCTACTGGCATGGGCTGGACCACCTTCTGGAGCCGGTAGGCCTGAAAAAGACGTGGGGAGAGGTGCTTTTTGAGGTCCATTCGTTCTTATTGTTCATGGTCAACACTAATGTTGGTTGAGTATTAGTTAATGTTAGTGGCTATGGCTATGTTGACAAATCTAGAGTGTGGATCGTAATCTCTCCTGGCCTATAGAACAGGTCCAAGTTAAAGAAACAAGTAATTTAGAAAAATGTGTGTGCACTATCCCAAACTATAAATAGTCCCACTAACACATTCACTTTAGCAATACTGTATAGAAATTGTAGATCCGGGTCCTACCTTGATGACGTTGTTGGGATGGGTGGGTTTACACTTCATCACAATGTGGTCACGGAGCTGAGAGACCTTCTTGGCGCGGAGCAGGTAGTGACACAGCAGCTCCTTGGGCTGGAGGGTCGCCCCAAGGTTCCTCAGGCCCAGGACGATCAGGCTGAAAAAACAAAATAGCGAAGAGCAAAGGACTCAGCCTACGGACTTAGTTTATTTGTCAGTGAGTTGTTAACACTCATAAAAAAGCATACAAAAATCAAATTCATTTAGATTCCGAGTTTACGTACTACGGAAACAAATTTGTTTAGGACAAGGTGTGCATTTAACAGAGCATATACAGTATAACATGGGCATTCTATGCGAAATCAGATCCAATATGGGCATTAAATTAGGTTATAACGTTTAGTCATTATAATAGGTCATTCTTACCAGTCCTCTCCTGCGGTGAACATGCTGACGGAGCACGCGGAATGCAGGGCTGGGTCCAGGCTGACGTGGGGCAGTAGCTCAGGGTACAGGAACACCGGCCGCGTGGCAAACAGCCATGCCAGCTGGGGGGGCATCGACGGATACTTCCGGACTGGCAACACACAATGAACCAGTTAGTGTGAGAAAGATTAATTAAACATGAATTAGGCCTACATCCTGAATGAGTCAAAATATTTTCAATTGAGACGGGTATGTTGTAATTAAATGGAGTACACGTTTATCAGAAGTAGTCTTTACCTCATCAATTTGACTATCATCATAGCACTCGTGCACGCACGCATGCGCACGCTTACCTCTCCTGCATGTTCGTGGCTCGTTAGGGGCTTCTTGGTAAGGGATTGGGGACAGTGAGAGCTCCTCTAGTAGTGACAGTGCCCCCTGTAGGTTACAGGCTCTGAACACACTGGTGAAGCCTGGCTCCACTTGGCCCTGGGTCAACTCCCCACGCTGGGCAAACATCTGTAACTCCATCTGAGGCAGAGAGGTAGGGAAGGACTACATTAACTATATATATTTTAAGAGAGAGAGAGATGAAAGGGAGAGAGATATGGTGGGAGTATCAGAGAGAATGAGAGTATGTTTATAAGTTAGTGCCGATAAAGGCACCAGTGAAAGTGTGTTTGTCAGTAGGTTTCTCTCTCACCAGGAACTGCTTGGTGGTGGCAGCTTCACTCTGCAGTGCAGCCACCGGGCTGGTCAACATGTGGACCTGGGTCAGGAGCTGGACGTGCTGCAGACAGAGGAAAATACAGTCATTACCGACCGAGAAACAAACAAAGGTTATCTTAATTGTGGAAGCTTGACCAGGATTTTACTACCTAGGTTTTGATTTAGCTCAATTAAATATAAAGCAGGGTTCGGGTCAATTCCAATTTAATTTGAAATGTAATTTGAATTCACTCATGAAGTGGAGAATTAGCGTTTAATTCAATTGGAATTTTGGATTGGAATTTGTAAAAACATTTCATTTTTAGAATTGAAATTCAATATTTGTAAATTTCCCAGTTAATGGAATTAATGCACTTAGTATAAAAAATTGACTGCAGTATTTGTTTTTAATTATTTCAACATGTATTCCAATATTTCCAGTATAGCTAGGCTGTCGGAACAGTGACATGATCAGCCTGAAAACCTGAGGGAATTGAATTCGAATTTGTGGAATTGTTGGGGATAATATTTAATTGGGAATAGAATTCTTGGAATTGAGCTAACATTGGAATTGAGAGGTATTCAATTATCTCTGAATTCAAAGACTGACCTGGAATTTGAATTGAATTAAATGAATTTACAGGGACAGGGAATTTAATTAGGATTGAATTTGTGGAATTAACCCCAACTCTGACACAAAGACAAGGACCCTAGACCTGCTGGACTTGCTGCTGCAGCTGGAGTCTCTGGCGGTGGGAGAGGGTGGGGGTGAAGGGAGGTGGGGGCTCCCGGGGCTTGGTGACGAGGCTCCTGGGGGCCAACAGGCCCTGGCTCTCCAGCAGGGCCCGGCGACGCCGGATGGCGGCCAGCTGCTCCTTCACCGTACGGTAGCTCCCTGCCGTCACCTCCGCCATGGGGTCCCCCAACCTTGGGATCAAAGGTCAAACTGGGTCAGCTATACAGCGGTCAAATCAGAGGAGGTTGAAAGTTGTCACTCAGAGGTATGAAGGTTGTGATTGGAGATTGAAAAAATGTCACTGGCTGGGTGAGTTGAAGGTATAAAGGTTGGTGGGTGAGTTGAAGGTATAAAGGTTGTGTTTAGAGGTTGACATTAATATACAGAATTACATTTTGAACTGACTACGAATTCATTATTCACTGTGTATTTATTCCTCGTGTCACAATTTCTATTTTCTATTTTTTTGTATCTTTAATGCTGCATTGTTGGAAAAGGACCCGTAAATAAGCATTTCACTGTTAGTCTACACATATTTGTCCCACTGGCTATCATAAGGTGAATGCACTAATTTGTAAGTCGCTCTGGATAAGAGCGTCTGCTAAATTACGAAAATGTAAATGAAAATGTAATTCAAATTTGATTTGATCAATGGAATTAAATGACCCCAATTGACCCCAAAACTTCCTGCAGCAGAGTGTACCAAACAACAGCAGAACTGTGTGTATATGAAGTGCATAAGTGTGCGGGTATACTAACGGGATATCTGTCAGTGTGTTGAAGGTGGGCGTCCCTAGGGAAGGTGCCTCTTCCTCCCTCTCCTCCTCTTCCTCGTGTCCTTCCTCGTCTTGCTCCTGAACAGTGAGCTCATCCTGGAACTGGAGCACACGGAGAGATAAATACACTACACATAGACAACCACACAACATAAACAGAGGGGTAAAAAAGGGACATATACAGAGGGGGTGTTCAGAGGGATAGAGAAAGAGACAAAACAAACATAACACAGAATCTCTTACAGTCTCAAACAACTCTTCCATCAACTGGTTCACTTCCTTTTCTGAAAAAAAATCATGAAAAATGGGAGATGAGGGTCAGCGCCTGACAGTCACAGCCTAGACAAGTTGACTCCATCTCTTGGCTGCTAGGCAGCTCCGTCCCTAGGTAACTCACTGGTGATGCGGACGGCTCGGTCGTTGCGGTAATCCTCCACGTCGGGTTCGTCGATCTCCGCCAGGAAGTTATACTCAGGGTCGTCATCATCATCGCCTTCCTCTGAAAAGAAAAATAACATTTGAAAAAGAGGAACAGAGTGCAAGAGTTTGTGTGCAAGAGTGAGTATGTCACCAACAGGGTTCCATAAGAGCAGGGTTTCCCCAAAGTAGGTCCTGGGGCCACCCCGGGTGTACGTTTTGGTTTTTGCCCTAGCACTACACAGCTGATTAAAAAAAAGCTTGATGATGAGTTGGTTATTTGAGTCAGCTGTGTAGTGCTAGGGCAAAAAACGAAAACGTGCACCCGGCGGGGCCCCACGACAGACTTTGGGAAACCCTGATCTAGAGTAATCCTTAGATGAGCACAAGTAAACGTATTTGCTTATATGCCTTCAGAATGAGGTTATTATTCTCAAAACACCCCTTTTACCCCACTTGGCCTCATTACAGAAATGGATAAAGAAATCAAATTGGGAAAAAGTAAAATGTTATTTTATTTTCAGTGTTATGTTTAACTCAGGCCTTTTCATTAGGGAAGCAATGTTCAAAAAATATTAGGAATATTGATTTGTTATTTTTGGACTGTTACAGTAATGAGACATTTGTGGAAATGTTGGTCAAATGCATATCTGTTTTTTTTTAAACTATAATAATTATGTAATTATAGTCTCAGTGATTCAAGAGGACATTTTGTGAAAAATGACACTTGAGAATTAGTTTTGTTATTTGACAGCTTCGTGAGAATGTCCCATCTACACTAGCTGTCGAGGGTAGTTGCTGGGGGTGGATTTGGAATTGAGCAGCGCGCACACGCTCCACCCCCTCACCATCGTTGTACATGTCAGATGTCATGATGCCCTGAAGCCAGTGGGTCCACTCGCGGTCCTCGGGGGCAGAGCCACACCCGTACATATCAGGCGTGATGTCGGGGGCGCGGAGCTCTGCCTCCAGCTGGCCCATGGGGACGTCCCGGAGGGGCCTCTTGGAGCGAGTACGACATGCCATCAGACCGTCCGCCATGGGTGGCTGTGAGAGGGGTAGGGGGAGAGCAAAAGCAGGAGGTTACCAGTGCAAAGTTGTGTAAAATCGCATTTCTATTGCATTCAATCAATCAATCAATCAATTTTATTTTATATAGCCCTTCTTACATCAGCTAATATCTCGAAGTGCTGTACAGAAACCCAGCCTAAAACCCCAAACAGCTAGTAATGCAGGTGTAGAAGCACGGTGGCTAGGAAAAACTCCCTAGAAAGGCGAAAACCTAGGAAGAAACCTAGAGAGGAACCAGGCTATGAGGGGTGGCCAGTCCTCTTCTGGCTGTGCCGGGGGAAGATTATAACAGAACCATGCCAAGATGTTCAAAAATGTTCATAAGTGACAAGCATGGTCAAATAATAATCAGGAATAAATCTCAGTTGGCTTTCATAGCCGATCATTAAGAGTTGAAAACAGCAGGTCTGGACAGGTAGGGGTTCCATAACCGCAGGCAGAACAGTTGAAACTGGAATAGCAGCAAGGCCAGGCGGACTGGGGACAGCAAGGTGTCATCAGGTCTCTCAGTTGGCTTTTCATAGCCGATCATTGAGAGTTGAAAACAGCAGGTCTGGGACAGGTAGGGGTTCGTAACCGCAGGCAGAACAGTTTGAAACTGGAATAGCAGCAAGGCCAGGCGGACTGGGGACAGCAAGGTGTTCATCATGCCCGGTATCCTGACGTATGGTCCTAGGGCTCAGGTTCTCAGAGAGAAAGAAGAACGAGAGAATTAGAGAGAGCATACTTAAATTCACACAGGACACTGGATAAGACCGGAGAAGTACTCCAGGTATAACCAACTAACCCCCCCCAAAAACCTGAGGGAATTGAATTAAATTTTGGGGAAATTGTGGGGATAATATTAATGGGAATAGAATTTTGGATTGAGCTAACATTGGAATGGAGATTCAATTATCTTGAATTCAAAGACTGACCTGGAATTTGAATTGAATTAAATGAATTTACAGGGACAGGGATTTAAAGGATTGAATTGTGGAATAACCCAACTTGACCAAAGACAAGGACCTAGACTGCGGGACTTGCTGCTGCGCTGGAGTCTCTGGCGGTGGGAGAGGGTGGGGGTGAAGGAGGGTGGGGGCTCCCGGGGCTTGGTGACGAGGCTCCTGGGGCCAACAGGCCCTGGCTTCCAGCAGGGCCCGGCGACGCCGGATGGCGGCCAGCTGCTCCTTCACGTACGGTAGCTCCCTGCCGTCACCTCCGCCATGGGGTCCCCCAACCTTGGGATCAAAGGTCAAACTGGGTCAGCTATACAGCGGTCAAATCAGAGGAGGTTGAAAGTTGTCACTCAGAGGTATGAAGGTTGTGATTGGAGATTGAAAAAATGTCACTGGCTGGGTGAGTTGAAGGTATAAAGGTTGGTGGGTGAGTTGAAGGTATAAAGGTTGTGTTTAGAGGTTGACATTAATATACAGAATTACATTTTGAACTGACTACGAATTCATTATTCACTGTGTATTTATTCCTCGTGTCACAATTTCTATTTTCTATTTTTTTGTATCTTTAATGCTGCATTGTTGGAAAAGGACCCGTAAATAAGCATTTCACTGTTAGTCTACACATATTTGTCCCACTGGCTATCATAAGGTGAATGCACTAATTTGTAAGTCGCTCTGGATAAGAGCGTCTGCTAAATTACGAAAATGTAAATGAAAATGTAATTCAAATTTGATTTGATCAATGGAATTAAATGACCCCAATTGACCCCAAAACTTCCTGCAGCAGAGTGTACCAAACAACAGCAGAACTGTGTGTATATGAAGTGCATAAGTGTGCGGGTATACTAACGGGATATCTGTCAGTGTGTTGAAGGTGGGCGTCCCTAGGGAAGGTGCCTCTTCCTCCCTCTCCTCCTCTTCCTCGTGTCCTTCCTCGTCTTGCTCCTGAACAGTGAGCTCATCCTGGAACTGGAGCACACGGAGAGATAAATACACTACACATAGACAACCACACAACATAAACAGAGGGGTAAAAAAGGGACATATACAGAGGGGGTGTTCAGAGGGATAGAGAAAGAGACAAAACAAACATAACACAGAATCTCTTACAGTCTCAAACAACTCTTCCATCAACTGGTTCACTTCCTTTTCTGAAAAAAAATCATGAAAAATGGGAGATGAGGGTCAGCGCCTGACAGTCACAGCCTAGACAAGTTGACTCCATCTCTTGGCTGCTAGGCAGCTCCGTCCCTAGGTAACTCACTGGTGATGCGGACGGCTCGGTCGTTGCGGTAATCCTCCACGTCGGGTTCGTCGATCTCCGCCAGGAAGTTATACTCAGGGTCGTCATCATCATCGCCTTCCTCTGAAAAGAAAAATAACATTTGAAAAAGAGGAACAGAGTGCAAGAGTTTGTGTGCAAGAGTGAGTATGTCACCAACAGGGTTCCATAAGAGCAGGGTTTCCCCAAAGTAGGTCCTGGGGCCACCCCGGGTGTACGTTTTGGTTTTTGCCCTAGCACTACACAGCTGATTAAAAAAAAGCTTGATGATGAGTTGGTTATTTGAGTCAGCTGTGTAGTGCTAGGGCAAAAAACGAAAACGTGCACCCGGCGGGGCCCCACGACAGACTTTGGGAAACCCTGATCTAGAGTAATCCTTAGATGAGCACAAGTAAACGTATTTGCTTATATGCCTTCAGAATGAGGTTATTATTCTCAAAACACCCCTTTTACCCCACTTGGCCTCATTACAGAAATGGATAAAGAAATCAAATTGGGAAAAAGTAAAATGTTATTTTATTTTCAGTGTTATGTTTAACTCAGGCCTTTTCATTAGGGAAGCAATGTTCAAAAAATATTAGGAATATTGATTTGTTATTTTTGGACTGTTACAGTAATGAGACATTTGTGGAAATGTTGGTCAAATGCATATCTGTTTTTTTTTAAACTATAATAATTATGTAATTATAGTCTCAGTGATTCAAGAGGACATTTTGTGAAAAATGACACTTGAGAATTAGTTTTGTTATTTGACAGCTTCGTGAGAATGTCCCATCTACACTAGCTGTCGAGGGTAGTTGCTGGGGGTGGATTTGGAATTGAGCAGCGCGCACACGCTCCACCCCCTCACCATCGTTGTACATGTCAGATGTCATGATGCCCTGAAGCCAGTGGGTCCACTCGCGGTCCTCGGGGGCAGAGCCACACCCGTACATATCAGGCGTGATGTCGGGGGCGCGGAGCTCTGCCTCCAGCTGGCCCATGGGGACGTCCCGGAGGGGCCTCTTGGAGCGAGTACGACATGCCATCAGACCGTCCGCCATGGGTGGCTGTGAGAGGGGTAGGGGGAGAGCAAAAGCAGGAGGTTACCAGTGCAAAGTTGTGTAAAATCGCATTTCTATTGCATTCAATCAATCAATCAATCAATTTTATTTTATATAGCCCTTCTTACATCAGCTAATATCTCGAAGTGCTGTACAGAAACCCAGCCTAAAACCCCAAACAGCTAGTAATGCAGGTGTAGAAGCACGGTGGCTAGGAAAAACTCCCTAGAAAGGCGAAAACCTAGGAAGAAACCTAGAGAGGAACCAGGCTATGAGGGGTGGCCAGTCCTCTTCTGGCTGTGCCGGGGGAAGATTATAACAGAACCATGCCAAGATGTTCAAAAATGTTCATAAGTGACAAGCATGGTCAAATAATAATCAGGAATAAATCTCAGTTGGCTTTTCATAGCCGATCATTAAGAGTTGAAAACAGCAGGTCTGGGACAGGTAGGGGTTCCATAACCGCAGGCAGAACAGTTGAAACTGGAATAGCAGCAAGGCCAGGCGGACTGGGGACAGCAAGGTGTCATCAGGTCTCTCAGTTGGCTTTTCATAGCCGATCATTGAGAGTTGAAAACAGCAGGTCTGGGACAGGTAGGGGTTTCGTAACCGCAGGCAGAACAGTTGAAACTGGAATAGCAGCAAGGCCAGGCGGACTGGGGACAGCAAGGTGTCATCATGCCCGGTAGTCCTGACGTATGGTCCTAGGGCTCAGGTTCTCAGAGAGAAAGAGAGAACGAGAGAATTAGAGAGAGCATACTTAAATTCACACAGGACACTGGATAAGACAGGAGAAGTACTCCAGGTATAACCAACTAACCCCAGCCCCCCGACACATAAACTACTGCAGCATAAATACTGGAGGCTGAGACAGGAGCGGTCCGGAGACACTGTGGCCCCATCCGAAGAAACCCCCGGACAGGGCCAAACAGGAAGGATATAACCCCACCCACTCTGCCAAAGCACAGCCCCCGCACCACTAGAGGGATATCCTCAACCACCAACTTACAATCCTGAGACAAGGCCGAGTATAGCCCACAGAGGTCTCCACCACAGCACAAACCAAGGGGGGGCGCCAACCCAGACAGGAAGATCACGTCAGTAACTCAACCCACTCAAGTGACGCACCCCTCCCAGGGACGGCATGAAAGAGCACCAGCAAGCCAGTGACTCAGCCCCTGCAACAGGGTTAGAGGCAGAGAACCCCAGTGGAGAGGGGAACCGGCCCGGCAGAGACAGCAAGGGCTGTTCGTTGCTCCAGAGCCTTTCCGTTCACCTTCACACTCCTGGGCCAGACTACACTCAATCATATGACCTACTGAAGAGATAAGTCTTCAGTAAAGACTTAAAGGTTGAGACCGAGTCTGCGTCTCTCATATGGGTAGGCAGACTGTTCCATAAAAATGGAGATCTATAGGAGAAAGCCCTGCCTCCCGCTGTTTGCTTAGAAATTCTAGGGACAATTAGGAGGCCTGCGTCTTGTGACCGTAGCGTACGTATTGGTATGTACGGCAGGACCAACTCGGAAAGATAGGTAGGAGCAAGCCCATGTAACGCTTTATAGGTTAACAGTAAAACCTTGAAATCAGCCCTTGCCTTAACAGGAAGCCAGTGTAGGGAAGCTAGCACTGGAGTAATATGATCAAATTTCTTGGTTCTAGTCAGGATTCTAGCAGCCGTATTTAGCACTAACTGAAGTTTATTTAGTGCTTTATCCGGGTAGCCGGAAAATAGAGCATTGCAGTAGTCTAACCTAGAAGTAACAAATGCATGGATTAATTTTTCTGCATCATTTTTGGACAGAAAATTTCTGATTTTTGCAATGTTACGTAGATGGAAAAAAGCTGTCCTTGAAACAGTCTTGATATGTTCGTCAAAAGAGAGATCAGGGTCAAGAGTAACGCCGAGGTCCTTCACAGTTTTATTTGAGACGACTTTACAACCATCAAGATGAATTGTCAGATTTAACAGAATATCTCTTTGTTTCTTGGGACCTAGAACAAGCATCTCTGTTTTGTCCGAGTTTAAAAGTAAAACGTTTTCAGCCATCCACTTCCTTATGTCTGAAACACAGGCTTCTAGCGAGGGCAATTTTGGGGCTTCACCATGTTTCATTGAAATGTACAGCTGTGTGTCATCCGCATAGCAGTGAAAGTTAACATTATGTTTTCGAATAACATCCCCAAGAGGTAAAATATATAGTGAAAACAATAGTGGTCCTAAAACGGAACCTTGAGGAACACCGAAATGTACAGTTGATTTGTCGGAGGACAGACCATTCACAGAGACAAACTGATATCTTTCCGACAGGTAAGATCTAAACCAGGCCAGAACTTGTCCGTGTAGACCAATTTGGGTTTCCAGTCTCTCCAAAAGAATGTGGTGATCGATGGTGTCAAAGGCAGCACTAAGGTCTAGTAGCACGAGGACAGATGCAGAGCCTCGGTCTGACGCCATTAAAAGGTCATTTACCACCTTCACAAGTGCAGTCTCAGTGCTATGATGGGGTCTAAAACCAGACTGAAGCATTTCGTATACATTGTTTGTCTTCAGAAAGGCAGTGAGTTGCTGCGCAACAGCTTTTTCTAAAATTTTTGAGAGGAATGGAAGATTCGATATAGGCCGATAGTTTTTTATATTTTCCGGGTCAAGGTTTGGCTTTTTCAAGAGAGGCTTTATCACTGCCACTTTTAGTGAGTTTGGTACACATCCGGTGGATAGAGAGCTGTTTATTATGTTCAACATAGGAGGGCCAAGCACAGGAAGCAGCTCCTTCAGCAGTTTAGTAGGAATAGGATCCAGTATGCAGCTTGAAGGTTTAGAGGCCATGATTATTTTCATCATTGTGTCAAGAGATATAGTACTAAAACACTTAAGTGTCTCTCCCGATCCCAGGCCCTCGCAGAGCTGTGCAGATCCAGGACAGCTAAGCCCTGGAGGAATACGCAGATTCAAAGAGGAGTCCGTAATTTGCTTTCTAATGGTCATGATCTTTTCCTCAAAGAAGTTCATGAATTTATTACTGCTGAAGTGAAAGCCATCCTCTCTTGGGGAATGCTGCTTTTTAGTTAGCTTTGCAACAGTATCAAAAAGAAATTTTGGATTATTCTTATTTTCCTCGATTAAGTTGGAAAAGTAGGATGATCGAGCAGCAGTGAGGGCTCTTCGGTACTGCACGGTACTGTCTTTCCAAGCTAGTCGGAAGACTTCCAGTTTGGTGTGGCGCCATTTCCGTTCCAATTTCCTGGAAGCTTGCTTCAAAGCTCGGGTATTTTCTGTATACCAGGGAGCTAGTTTCTTATGACAAATGTTTTTCGTTTTTAGGGGTGCAACTGCATCTAGGGTATTGCACAAGGTTAAATTGAGTTCCTCAGTTAAGTGGTTAACTGATTTTTGTCCTCTGACGTCCTTGGGTAGGCAGAAGGAGTCTGGAAGGGCATCAAGGAATTTTTGTGTTGTCTGAGAATTTATAGCACGACTTTTGATGCTCCTTGGTTGGGGTCTGAGCAGATTATTTGTTGCGATTGCAAACGTAATAAAATGGTGGTCCGATAGTCCAGGATTTTGTGGAAAAACATTAAGATCTACAACATTTATTCCATGGGACAAAACTAGGTCCAGAGTATGACTGTGGCAGTGAGTAGGTCCAGAGACATGTTGGACAAAACCCACTGAGTCGATGATGGCTCCGAAATACTTTTGGAGTGGGTCTGTGGACTTCTCCATGTGAATATTAAAATCACCAAAAATTAGAATATGATCTGCTATGACTACAAGGTCTGATAGGAATTCAGGAAACTCAGAGAGGAACGCTGTATATGGCCCAGGAGGCCTGTAAACAGTAGCTATAAAAAGTGATTGAGTAGGCTGCATAGATTTCATGACTAGAAGCTCAAAAGATGAAAACGCCATTTTTTTTTTTGTAAATTGAAATTTGCTATCGTAAATGTTAGCAACACCTCCGCCTTTGCGGGATCACGGGGAATATGGTCACTAGTGTAACCAGGAGGTGAGGCCTCATTTAACACAGCAAATTCATCAGGCTTAAGCCATGTTTCAGTCAGGCCAATCACATCAAGATTATGATCAGTGATTAGTTCATTGACTATGACTGCCTTTGAAGTGAGGGATCTAACATTAAGTAACCCTATTTTGAGATGTGAGGTATCACGATCTCTTTCAATAATGGCAGGAATGGAGGAGGTCTTTATCCTAATAAGATTGCTAGGGTGAACACCGCCATGTTTAGTTTTGCCCAACCTAGGTCGAGGCACAGACACAGTCTCAATGGGTATGGCTGAGCTGACTACACTGACTATGCTATTGGCAGACTCCACTAAGCTGGCAGGTTGGCTAACAGCCTGCTGCCTGGCCTGCACCCTATTTCACTGTGGGGCTAGAGGAGTTAGAGCCCTATCTATGTTGGTAGATAAGAGGAGAGCACCCCTCCAGCTAGGATGGAGTCCGTCACTCCTCAGCAGGTCAGGCTTGGTCCTGTTTGTGGGTGAGTCCCAGAAAGAGGGCCAATTATCCACAAATGTTATCTTTTGGGAGGGGCAGAAAACAGTTTTCAACCAGTGATTGAGTGCTGAGACTCTGCTGTAGAGCTCGTCACTTCCCCTAACTGGGAGGGGGCCAGAGACAATTACTCGATGCCGACACATCTTTCTAGCTGATTTACACGCTGAAGCTATGTTGCACTTGGTGACCTCTGACTGTTTCATCCTAACATCGTTGGTGCCGACGTGGATAACAATATCTCTATACTCTCTACACTCGCCAGTTTTAGCTTTAGCCAGCACCATCTTTAGATTAGCCTTAACGTCGGTAGCCCTGCCCCCTGGTAAACAGTGTATGATCGCTGGGTGATTCGTTTTAAGTCTAATACTGTGGGTAATGGAGTCGCCAATGACTAGGGTTTTCAATTTGTCAGAGCTAATGGTGGGAGCCTTTGGCGTCTCAGACCCCGTAACGGGAGGAGTAGAGACAAGAGAAGACTC